AACATTTATTAAGTTTGAAAGGAAGCATGTTAAGTCCATTTACATAGACCACTCCACGTGTTGCGATAAGGTACATACCCATGCACTGCTCAGTGTTCTTTTACAATATCACGGTTTAACTCAGATGTACTTAATATTTCATATCCCACGGATTCAAGCCGATTATATTACACATTTTCACATAATATCCAACAATTAATAATGACCTCTTTATATTTAGGAACACAGCGTGCGCTTGGTGTCCTACTAGAGTCATTACACAAATAAAATCTGAATTTGATTCATAGCCAAAATATTACAGGATTGCTCATATTTGTCGTTTTAAACACTTGGTTGTACGTACAAGCGAGTAGAGTTCCACACATTTTGTAGAATAAATCAAATATTCGGTCGTACAGTATCAAAAGGATCCTAGTTGACCTTGATTTAGCGTCCATTAAAATCAATTATTTGCGTTCTAAAAATACTGTTGTTAATGTCATTGTATGATAATAAGCAGGATAGGTTTTATTTTTCAACTGATTATAAAATTTTGTAATCTTATAGGATCACGACCCGAATTATTCTCTAAAGTAGACACATAACTCAAAATAATGTCAGCGACTTTTATGAAGAAACAAAGAACCTTTTAGCACATGCTGCCCATAGATAGGTAACAGTTGATAAAAGCTGTAGTTTTCCTATGGAAATACATACATTGTACTGTATGTTACGGGTATATACTGTTTGCAGTGTGACGAAATGGTAGTCACACACCGAGACACTTGTGGTTAATGTCTATGGGTATTACTTGTCAGCGTAATCTGGTGATTAAAAGATCAAATATTTCACTTACGCTTTTGGCAACAGCCAATGCCAGTTGGCGTTTAAATTCTCCGTTATACGCAAACTGCTTAAGCCATGTAAGTAGAGGGGTAATTTTAAATTTAGATATGTATCGGGTATATCTGAACTGTTTCTTAGTTAATTTAATGATATCATCTCTATGCAAATGTTGTGATCGTATGCATTGAGTACATGTCATAAGAAGGAACATATCAATCCCCCAAAACCGAAGTCCATCGATAAGCTTAAATGTTACTCATTTCCGAGGTAAGGTATTTGTACTCGTTCTCTTGAATGCATATTAAAGACCGTATCTTTCGTTAAATTCGATATGCTTCTATTGACTTATTAATTTGTGGTATACAATATTGCATATTATAGAAAGCTATAATACATCAATGTATTTGCATTTAGTTCTGTAGTGTATAATAACTAATTTCCAGACACTTGTTTTTAAATACCGATTTCTAATGACCCAACGACACAATAGGGCCATTCAGAGCAATCACACGATAAAAAAATAATCTATTTCAATTACGATATGTCTATAACAATGTCCCACATTAGATCATTTATATAAAACATATAAAAATGCAGTTGTATTAAACATTCACACATATTTACCCTCAAAACCCTTCTGGTGTCCACCCATTAGTAAGATAAAGACCATCAAACATCTCATATTTATTAATTATTTCTTACGGTATAACAGCCGCCTTGGGCGACATAGAAAGGTTCAAGTTGGCTAAAAACGTTCCTAATATCGAGATTACTGTAAGAACACTTACAATTTCTTTGAGCTGTGCATATTTTTAAAAACTTCCAAATCTCTAGCAGAGTACTTGTTTAATTCACCGCAAAAATCAATTTCTGATGGACATTCCAGTAGAACATGTCTTTAAAATACCATAACAGTTAAATCATAATCTCTCTCCAAAATGGCAATGGCTCATGATCACATCGTCCAGTTGTTATACGAAATGGGGCTTCACCAATCTAAACTTAGGCAAGCACCACAACGAGAGTAAGGTTTTACTTCATAAATATGTTTGAATAGTGTATCAGGTCTTAACACATTACCTCAGTGTGTGCCATTTTTGCTGTTTTCTCTGCGGTCGTCCATCTATATATGAGAGGCCATTTCAGAAAATATAGCGGTAGAGGAGGATTAAAGGGAATGCCTCTTACGCCACACACGTGTTTCATTGTGCTTGTACTTTCTGATAAGAGTACACATTGGTAATACCAATCGCGACTTCCCTCATACAAGATAACAATTTAAACCTGCAAATGGTTAAGTTGTGACATAATGAAGGGAAATAACTCTGGCAGTGTTGCAATCAAAGTTTGTGTACACCTTGTCCTTGGCAGCATCATATTATAACAGGCAATCAGATAAAAGACTCCAAATTCGAACATAAAGTTTATATGACATTACTGCAGTTATTCTCGTACAATTAATTCTCTATAGATACCCAGTCCTTTCCCGTCTCGATCGGTTCCTCAACGTTTGGCATAATGTGTGCTTATGAGCTGGAAGTATTCTTCAATCACTATGCCATGTGCTGTACAAAAGGAAAATCCTAAAATTTCAATCATTTGAATTGAATGAAAGATTTAATAAATGTAAAACATTGAATTCAATATGTGTTTTGTTTTAAGAGTTTTGTAGTTATTTTCAGTGATTAGCTTGTGTGTGCGAAAAGACAATGAAGGTAAAACTCCCAATATTGCTTCAATAGTAGATGCGAAGCATTGCTTTGTAGCGATACGAGAAGAAAACTTAATTATTATCTCTACCGATTTAGATCAGTCTTGGGATGATCTGCTGTAAATATTTCGGCTAACATCTCGATAAGGATTTGTTACAGTATATTGTCACTCGATTGTTCTACACTATTCCTTATAACCAGCTGGTAAACATACATTGTATCTATTTCATCATTTCATTCATTGCATTGTCATCAGGTTTCCATGGCACCGGTAAGTATTTATAAATATTCGTCATAACCAACCAATCAAAACCATTGTCTCTCTGTAGTAGTGGCCATTGGTTTTGGTATGTACTTGTAGAATAGCGTACTATTCTAACGGATGGGTGGTTTATAGTATTATTAATACATTGTATACTCACTAATGTAGCAGATTTGATAAGACTCATACTTATGAGTAGTAAGAGTGTTTTGTAGCTATATTTTGAAGACCGGCAAGAATTTCCTAAAGGAGTAGTATTTCTTGTCTTACGTATGGGGAAGATATGAAAACTTTTGTTTCGTATACTTGTGTTAATATTTCAAGATGTTGGAAGTGTTCTCATAGTTATGAATACAATCGACAAATATGAAAATGTGTATATTGTATTCTAGGTTCTGGATAAATCACATACATTCATATACTAGTAAAATGTGAAAGGAAAAATAAGTATTCTTACCAATGAAAATTGCTGTTATAACGTAACCAAACTCATCTCATTATAAAAAATCACCCACATGTATTAACAAGTAGAAAACTAATTCTATAACGGCCACACACAGCTTTATATCACACTGTCAGTCATACCTAACGCGTACCACGTACAAAACATCTTAGACATATACCAGCTCATATGTTAAGTAGCTGTAGTGTTATCGAAGGAACCCAAGATTCGATGTTCTCTTTTTATATTATATAGAGATAGCTTGTTGTCAAGTATGACACAATTTTGTTTATTTCAAGTTTAAACTTACTACATTATATTATCAAACATTGTACCCGGTTTTTCATTAGTAGGTTATAGATCTAGATATAGTATCATTAAACTAGAGACAAGCTTTGTTATTTATATATGACACCAAACAATCTTAAATATTAAATATAATTGGGTACGCTATCAAATGTGACATGTTAGGTACTAAACACAGACATATTGCATTAGGCTCTTGATATGCTATTTTATTCTATTATTACGGAGCAAAGATGCAAAACACTTTTGGAATGAATTTACAAACTTCTCGACCATTCTCAACGTTATTAAACTCCATCCAAATTAATTAAAAAAAATATATAGAGCAGCAGGTGTTTGTTGTCAGGGACAAACAGCCATTGAAAAACCAATAAAACACACACACACACACACACACATATATATATAGTGTACATCTCTTCTTAATTCGATGTCAGAAATTAACCATGTCACACATTCTACAATGTGATTAGATATGTTGATAAGCAGTGCTAATTTGCTTCGATTAGGTTACAGGTAGTTTTTGGTGTAGTGTTAACCCAGGGTTTAGATACCTAACGTAGACCAGTAGTTTATAATACACGGAGGTATACGTATAACCTATATATCATACACTAATGACCGTTCTCACGCGCTGAGTAATACACACATAGACACGTTTAGATGTTCATCTAGACTAATTACTAACTCACAGGAACGTAAGTTTAGAGAACTGTTTATCCCATGATCTGCTCCATGTTTATGAATAAATCTGCATAGAATAGATAGAGCAACACCATATATATTCAATAATGTATATGAGTTATATTAATAATATTTTGTCAACATACTCAGTTTCATTTCACAAATCATTTATCACAGTCCTTTAAAAAGACATTTTATGTTGAGTTACACAGACAATACCAACACATGTATGTTCCTAAGAAAAAGCCCAGCTTTGTACCCGGGATTATTGCTTTATTCTGATCAAGATTCCGACCCAGATATATAATGTATACTTATATATGTCGTTTTGAATGTCCCCTACCTTTATGTACGTAATTTTTCGTGGCAGTGTGGTCTCTTTTACACATCTGGGCTTTAATAAATAGGCAATATTATTGTATCCTTATTACAGAGACAAAGCGCCATGTAAGAAGATCTTAACGTTTGTATTAGATATTGTATGACAGGCAGGCATGAATATGATACTTGATCATAGTATATATATATATACTAATATAAGTTAATTTCTGATCACTATCAATGTTGGAAGCATATGATAAATTGTAGCACCGAATTAATAGGTGCTAAGAGTGATATTCGGATCTATGTAAGTATGATCTAGTTTTAAATTGCTTCTTACTTTGAGTATCTGCAGGATTGTGTCCATATAAAAATCCAGGAGATCGTGTGAAAAAGTTGTTTGTTTGTATGGGTTAATATTTAATTTACAACGTTTTATATATTTCAGCCCTTTGAAAAGAAGCGGCAGACGTTAGCTGAAATATTATTTGGGAATAAACAGAATCAGGTAAGGATATGTTTGTATACAAAATGCGGTTACAAATCGTACCCACCTCACCTGTGGTGTTTTTAAATTGAAAATCCGTGTCTAGAAATCAATTTAAATGCCCTAGTATCAGTGCTAGTTATAAGTGCTATTAAAAGGATTTCAAGCCTGTAAACAAACGGTAATAATTGTCCCTATAGATAGATCTCTCCGTCGTTTGTGTCATGCGCTGTCAAGCGTGGAGATGAGAAAGGGGTAGAATCGGTTTGCAGACGATAGAAACTATAGGATTCAATATGGGCGATCGTTGTTGCTAAGGATGGTTCTGAACTACTGCAAGTAGACGTATGACGGAGCAGTAGGTCATTATTTTTCAAAGGACAATCTGTACAGACAAAGGTAACACACTGACAATGTATTTCATGGGTATAAACCTAAATATCGGTCCAATTTTGGCATGTGTGTGGCTTTATGTTGCCAGTCGCGTGCCAATTGAATGTATATAGAATGGTTTTATAATCGATGTCAATGGTCATGTTTATACGAGCATGCTTTGGCTATATATTATTCCATAAGATCAATACCGCAGCCCGTTTGCGAAATACCGGTTCATGGTTTACATTTATCATTTGTTGAGTAGATTTGGAAGCAGTCATCTGTTGTATAATGTTTTATAAATATATTTATCCGTGTACGGAAAGATATAATAACCGTGATTTATCAGGACCTGAAATCAATTCTGTTACTAGGAATAACAACATCGGGACGTTTACCGTTCATTATGTTTAATTATGTTTGTTGATCGAACTGTTTACTCGTATAACAAACCACCTCAATACATGGTAGATACAGATATATTTATTGCACATTAATATCTGCATAAGTATGTACGTTCATCTCATGACATAAACAATCATATACATGATATACAGTCTTATCATAAACAACTGTATACGTGGTTTATTTTCTATTACACATAAACAACTGTATTCCTGGTACGCATCATATTGCACATTGACACATTCCGTAATACATACTCTATTGCACATTCATGTATGTCATAATAGTACTCCAATTTACAAAAAGCCTGGTATATCTATAATTGGTTACACTTTTCTCGTCATTTTAAAGATCATATTTTGATGTTGATGTATTTTTATATAGTACAACTAACTTCATCAACTGCCCATTTCAATTCACTCGAAGGTTACGAGGTGAGTGAAGTAAACCTTTACTAGTAAGATATCGCATATATCGACGTTTGGTGAATCCGTCATAATTTCTAAAGAAATCATAGACAGACGTTTTAAGTAATGGTTTACGTGTCGACTGGTGCATTAAAATAGTTTGGTATATTGTGTGGTACACGTACATACAAACATAACGATGTGCTGGTATATGTGGCTAGATCCTTAAATAGAAAGATTACGTAACAATTTGAGAAAAACTTCATCCGACTTGATTGAATGTGTCGATAAGGCCTATTCACGTCTGCATCATTTCATATATTACCATAAATTACACAATGCATTTCATCAATCAACTAGTAAAGGTGTATGGGTATTATATATAAAATCGACGTCCCTTTTGAAATGTGTAATATCTCATGGTCTTATATGTACATTTTGTGTTTGGTATTAGCTTTATCGTTTATAATGAACATAATACAATTTGTGACTTAGTAGTTTATACTAATATTAGTACTGTGTTTCGCACTTAAACCAATATAACAATATTGTACTCGGCTCGCGGAGTCGTCCAAGGGGAACATTGAACGAGCTGGACACTTAATGTGTTTCAGATAAAACTATTGCTATCTGTTCGTGTCTATCCACAGTAAAAACCAACGGTGGCAATGAAACTCAGAAACATATCTCAAATTCTATTCAAATAAGATGGTATTGAAGGTATTTTTGATAACTCGACGCGATTAGTGAAATAAGGTAATTGTGAATATCGGTTCGGATATTGTACATACTGTTAATAGTTTTTGATACCAGATGAGTGCTGAAAGTCCTCTATGATGTGTTACAGTTATGTCATTCCGTTTCTGCTCTAGTACAAAATGGTCAGATAAAGTGGCCTGATTTGTGTTCATCATATTAGATTTAGAGCGTTACACTTTCATCTGCAGGAAAATTGCTGCTCTAGAGACCACTCCTTTTTTTGCAATCATGTCTCTTAAGGAACCAACAATTTCTCGTCCACGCAAAGCATGTTAACATATTAAGCCTTACTTAGAGTCCTTAATACAGATTTGACTGTGATGCCTTTAAGATAATCAATCCTATAGCAATCTGTTCTGTTTATGCGTGATGTAAATATATACTAAACTTTCTAAATTAGATGTTAAAGTACCCATAACTACCTTCATGTATTCTATAAGTCTGAAATCGTTGGTTGCAATTATTGCGACAGTCATTCGAAATTTTAAATGGTTAAACTGACATATCTCATGGAGCGTCGCCAACTGTTATATTGATTGTTATTGTATATATAGACAAATATAAGTCGATTGGGTCCCTAACCACTTCCATAGGCAGACAGCTGTGAATGAAATACACGTTCTAATAAGGGTATATATATAGGTATTGTAATGGTTAAAACTACTTGAAGGCTAGTGGTATGATCAGAAGACTCGTATAACTAGTGATTACTTTTATGCTTAAATTGTGCTTTAAACTGGCAGACGGTGTTGGCACATTATTTTCTACGTACATAATTTCTTTCTCTCGTTGAAAATAAGTAAAATGTTTGAATAAAAAGAGGACGTATAAAACGTTGAACTTTGTCAAGATGATGTCTTACATTTTATGTCAGATATCTCATATGTTTTCAAAAGATATCTTATAAACAAATATGACGTCTTATAAACAAATATGACGTCTTATAAACAAATATGACATCTTATAAACAAATATGACATCTTATAAACAAATATGACATCTTATAAACAAATATGACATCTTATTAACAAATATGACGTCATTTAAACAAATAGGAATCTTATAATAAACAAATGTGAAATCCTATAAACAATATGAAATCTTCTATACATGTGAGTTATATGTATCTCATAAACATATGAAATACCTTATGCAATATATGAGATAAATAAGATAGCTGAAATAATATGAAAGATATCTTATACATTGTATATTCTTATTGAACACATGATTGACATTGCTCGTTATGTGTTTGTGGTTTTCCATAGAGTAGAGATGTTTGTAAGTTAATGTACGCCTGGTTACAAAAAATATAATTTTATGTACATCTGGTTAGACATCAAATATTTGTATTATTCAAATCTATTATGACGTCATCATAGCTTAACACTGTAACGAACTTTGACGTAAGATGTAGTGTTGATTTTTTTTGTTTAAAGTTTTAGTAAAAAAAAAAAACAACACATGTAGTTGTGGAGAGAAAAGCACTGTGCAATTTTTGTAAGAATTCGATAAATTTTTCGCTTCCCTTCGCCAAACATTATCGTTTAAGTTTCCATCATTCTATATCTCTTTTACAACACAACTAACGTGATTGGAGCACTCAAGGCTATGTGATAAAGAAATGACATTTATCATTATTTAGCTTTATGTTAGAGAAAACACATGTTTAATTCGTATAACCAGCTAATATTACCAGTAAATACACGAAAGTATATAATGGTCATGTGTATTATTAATCGAATTCTGATAAATGTGTGTTAAATCATTATACATACAGTAAGATCGGTCTGCGCATTTAAATTCCTTAGTAAAGTACAAAGGTATACAACATGGATTACTTTTATCACAAGCCTTGTTATCCCACGATTGTATTTAGGACCAATCGAAAAAACTTCAGGTTTTTTAACCATTAAGGAATTATATTTTACAATCAGCAGTTTTAAAATTTCCAAAGCGCTTCCTTTCAAGCTAGTGTGTTCTTTGTATGTTTTGAATAGTAATTGAATGTTTGAATGAATGCTAGTACATGAATAAAAAAAACTGAAGCTTAATAAAATAAGTTTTGTATAGAAGTCGTTAAAGGACATTGATAGCACCGTGCCGTTGAGAACTTTTCAATTACTCATAAACAGCTCGAGAGCCAAATGTGTACAGTACTGTGCATAAAAAGTTCTTTTCATTTCATTATCACGATTAAAATTAGAAAATATATCCGCTGATTCACTTATTTCTTGAATAGATCATATTCAGTTGTTTCATTAACAAGATGATATTCACAGGTTTCACGAACAGGACATATTTAATGGTTTCCAAAACAGAAATATTCACAGGTTTCACGAATAGAACATAAGCACTGATTTTTCGAACAAATCATATGCGCCGGTTACATGAACAGAACAAATTCACTGGTTTCACGAACAGACTATGCTCACTGGTTTCACGAACAGACTATGCTCACTGATTTCACGAACAGACTATGCTCACTGGTTTCACGAACAGACTATGGTCACTTGTTTCACGAACAGACTATGGTCACTGGTTTCACGAACAGACTATGCTCACTGGTTTCACGAACAGACTATGCTCACTGGTTTCACGAACAGACTATGCTCACTGGTTTCACGAACAGACTATGCTCACTGGTTTCACGAACAGACTATGCTCACTGGTTTCACGAACAGACTATGCTCACTGGTGTCACGAACAGACTATGCTCACTGGTTTCACGAACAGACTATGCTCACTGGTTTCACGAACAGACTATGCTCACTGGTTTCACGAACAGACTATGCTCACTGGTTTCCAGTACGTGTTTTAAAGTGATCATGCTGTCTCCGGTGTTTTCATGTTTCCTGTTGTTGTCCGTTTGTAATCATCGTTGAGTTTCGTGTGTGTTCACGTTTAAGTACGAATATTGGTCCTGGTAGGACCTAATTATATGCTGCTATATATATTCGTATTTACATGCGTATATATACATATAATGACAATTGGTACAATTAAGATACTGAAAATATGTCTATAGAATTCATAATACCAGGGATTAGTGTCATCATTACAATGCCGAGTTTACACAGCTTACAACGAGTTTGACCTTCGAACTCGTTGTTTGTTTTGTTGTATAAGGTCCACAAACTTAATTAACATTGTCATCAAATTTATCGGACAAACAGAGTCTCGGACGTTTTATTTATCAAAAGCTAAAATAATACTAATCAAGTGAATAACAATTGAAAAGGTATAGAAAACGTCAACTATAAATTATCTATAGAGGTGGCGATATCAGTAGAAAACATATGTATTCGATAAGTCGAATGTAAGCTGACGAGACTTTTAAAGGGTTGGACTTTCGTGGAAGGTAAGAGGCCTGTATGTTTTAATTGACGAGTGAACCTACCGTGTTTTTGTATAGATTGTAAAGGTAGACTATGTGACATAAGAGACGGTATATGTACATTGTACTCGTCTCCGGGCCGTCCGTCCAGGGTGTTTGTTATCCCCAGTCAATAACTTACACAGCACTGGAGGCGTCCACATTAGACTGGTTGTGTTAGGTAGTGTTGTGGTGTGTTATGTGTCTAAAATGGACGAAAACAAGGGAATGGACTTGCTTAGTGAGAACTATAGATACAGACAGGTAGGTCTTATATTGTCTTAATTCACACGTGTCATTTATTATAATCTACACGTCTTATTGTTTGCTGCTTCTATAGTTCCTAGCACCAGCAATCGGCTTTCTCAGGTAAATATATATACCATGGTAACTGTAGGTAGTTATGAAATGTTTTTTGACTAACAACTCACACATCAAATATGTATAACCTTATTCTGCCTCAGCAAGAACTGCTTATAAGGACTGGACAGGTAATGTATTAACAACTTTAGTTTGAGCTATTAGAACTTGGAAGGCAATGTGTCCTCAACTTCAGTAAGAACTGGGTAGGTAATGTGTTACCTACTTCAGTAAGGCTGGTGTATCAGAACTATGTAGGTAATGTGTTACCTACTTCAGCAAGACTGGTGTATCAGAACTGGGTAGGCAATGTGTTACCTACTTCAGTAAGGCTGGTGTATCAAAACTATGTAGGTAATGTGTTACCTACTTCAGTAAGACTGGTGTATCAGAACTGGGTAGGTAATGTGTTACCTACTTCAGTAAGAATAGGTGTATCAGAACTGGGTAGGTAATGTGTTACCTACTTCAGTAAGAATTTGTATATCTGAACTGTGTAGTTAATTTGTTACCTACTTCAGTAAAAACTGATTTATTAGAACTGGGTAGGTAATGTGTTACCTACTTCAGTAAGAATTTGTATATCAGGGTTGTGTAGTTAATTTGTTACCTACTTCAGTAAGAATAGGTGTATCAGAACTGGGTAGGTAATGTGTTACATACTTCAGTAAGAACTGGTGTATCAGAACTGGGTAGGTAATGTGTTACCTACTTCAGTAAGAATTGGTGTATCAGAACTGTGTAGGTAATGTGTTACCTACTTCAGTAAGAATTGGTGTATCAGAACTGGGTTGGTAATGAGTTCCCTTTTTGCAATAAGAAGTGGTACTAGAATTTGGTAGGTAATGTGTTACATACTTCATTTTTGTAAGACTAAGTGTATTGGAACGATCTAGAGTAGCAATACCACAGCAGATTTAGACTACCTGTGTGTTTGTCTCTAGGTAACAAGTAAATTGAAAATATAAGAACGATGCCGTTTTGTCGTACTGTGTCCCTTCCTTTTATATAAAGAACAAATGTAAAAGGCTCTTGTGACTGTGCTGTTAAAATGTCACACTTAATGTTCTATTCCAATGTTTCCCATTATAAAGTCAGAATCTTATGGCTTATACATTTAAAAGGGAAAATATCCAGAAATGGTAACGTGTTCTAAGAGAAAACATGACAGGTGTCAGATGTTACTGAAGACAAAACGATTGATGTCACATTTGACAGGAGACAACATGGCGGGTTACAAGTGATACGGACGGATGACACATTTTATGGTGTCTCTTCAGCCCTGTTGATTTTGAAACGACAGTGAGGTCCAAATTAGCCTTCTCGTGTGATCATTTAAGTATATTATTTTGCAGATGTTCAGCAATTGGCAGGTGCCACAGAGATTCTACCGCCCTCACAGTGTCAAGGACAAGTACGAGCCACCCGTGCCCAGGAATAACGCTAGTGAGTATACGATACACTTCTACCGCTACCAAAAGCAGTATCCAATTAACGTTTTGTCCTCAAAAATACACTGTTACTGATTTAAACAACACACAGCAGATCGAAAACAACTTATCGAACTTGTGTGTACTTTCAAAATACAAAATAATAACGGTATATACTCGATTATTAAAAAACAAAGTAACCTTGTGTTAACAAATGCGTTACGCATTACAGTGTATGTTCCTATTTATAAGGTATTCATATAACATTAATTTTGTTTTAGTGATTTTCCATTATTCCATTCAGGTAGTCTGTAGTTCAATAATATATAATAATGGAGTTTGTCTTTGTTCAGATGTTGGCGTTATAACACAGGAGCACGAGAGGTTCTTTAAGCCATCTTCAGAAGCTTCGCCAGTCCCGTCTAGAGCGCCATCTGTAGTGTCAGCGAGGTCTCCACCTCCTCGGCTTAGTAGACAAATGTCACGTGAGTCAAATACGTAAATTTTTGTGTATTTGTTAATCTAATTGCTTCCGGGTATTTCGTTTATAAGTAATCTGCCAATTTCAATTCCCAACTGTTATTAGCAGTTTTATGATATCAGTATATGTAAAACAAATGTTACCACCCTTCCAGTACCGGAGCTAAAGATGAGGACCAACCAGCCCCGCCCACTGGGCATGTCCAGGCAGTATACGAGAATCAACAAGGCCGCCGGTACACCCGTTCCCACGGCTAGCCCCGAAGTGCCCAAGCAACAGGCACCGTCCGAGGAAGACGTCAAAGTGGTCAAAGAGGTGAGTGACAAGTTCGGAATATGTAAAACTATATATATGGTTGAAAATAGGTTATGAAATCTTTGCGTTTGTCTATGAAATCAAAATACCAGTTTTTCTATTGAAACAGTTGAAAACACAAAGAAGATGTAAAGGAAGAAAGACGGTTTGCAATGTTATAAAAGTAACCACAAAGTTAACATGAATGATTTAAGACATGTTTAAATGAATCGTAACACCTGTCCTTACAGGACTTTAAGACGTCGTTACAACCACACGTGGTGGACAAGGCTGACGAGCTACTCAAGCTGGCTCCAAAGGCAGATCGGAGGGTCATCGAGAAGATCCTTAAAATGGCCGACAGGAAACAGCAGATGGAAAACTCTTTAAAGAAGACGATGATGCCCGACGCTCGAGAGGAAGTGGAAAAGTGGTTAACCTCTGCGAACGATGACGGTAAGGGTCGATGATGTGGTATGTTACTGATGTCGATGTGGTCTTGACTAAAAAATAACAAACACCTTGTCGTACAATGTCTGTTACGGAAAGCCATATATAGGTAAAAGTAAATACTTTACTTCGTATTTCTGGTGATTATTCTGTGTTTTATTCCGCTTGAAACAAACGTGTGTGCTATATATAGCGAATGAGGTTACTGTTCACGGTAAAATTATTCATTTCAGAACGACAAGTGGCTTTGAAATTTTTCAACTCCCTTGCCGGCACGAAGTTGATGGGGATCACTAAAACAGAACAAAAGAAGAGGCTACAACAAGTCATCGACACCTTAGAAGGGTAACAATGTTTCTTCGAATTTTATGTTATAAGCCATTTTTCCACAAGATATTTATTTATAGATCTTGTATGCGCGCAATTCTGTAGAGAAAAATATCTTGATTGCGATGTAAAATGATAGTATCCATTATATATATTTACCGACATTGACAACACTTGTCATAATTGTATTTTCCCATTTCAGAGCCAGTGAAAAGAGAGTAGGTGGTCAGCGACCTCGTAACAATAATGACCGCACCAAGGCAGGTAAGCTACAACACATGAGACTACTTTCCCCGCAGACACGGAAGGAGCGCTGGATGCATACCACATGGCATCATCTGCCGGAGTATAATGATAAAGGGGCCGGCAACATGAGCTCCCATTACATCAGACCACAGGCGCCGATTCCCCGCCATTTTGTCATCCATCCCGACTGGGGATAAAGAGAAGATCAAACGTGTAGTCCCTGATTATTCCCAGACAACTGCCGGTACACTTTGCAGATCAATGGGTGGCAATGTTTAAATTGTCTTACTCTGCCTTTATACTAAGTTTCCCTATGTTAAACACTTAAGTTATCTCATATATCTTCAATTGGATCGCCTTTGTATGGCCAAACTGGATTACCTACCCTTGATGACAAATTGGAACGTCGGTGGATGTTTTCATGATAGTTTCGTTACAATGAGTGCACGAGAGTATCGGAAAGACCGCAGGGTTATTTCATCGTACCTAATGTGACACAGAGATTGGAAGTATGATTCCGACTTCCGGTTTGACATGGAGGCCACGTGTTTCAGTTGCTTACCTATTTATTTTGCTTTAGTTGGACTATGCGAGGTCAGGGATTGTGTGCTATCTGTGATATCAGTGTTAAATCTGCTGTTTAAACTGTGATATGTCCACTGTGATGTTTAAACTATGTTGTGCAATCCTTTGTCGAGATTTCGAGTGATAAGGCGGATTAGAAATACTACAATTATCGATATATACTTATATGTTTGCTATACAACACTTTCACTTTCTTTTATAATAAAAACGATAGTTGGTTACAACATTCAAACATTCACGCTGTTTCACGATAATATTTGTATTACGTTTTGTGAATAAATTAGTTTCATGTTCGAAGTTGAAAAATGAGCATATTATCTTCCATAAAACAATGAAGCCTTCTTGTCAGAGGAGATAATACTCATCAAATATTATTTTGGATTAGCTAAACTATTCTAAATTCGAAGAAATGTGGCAAAGATTTACCGTTCGGAGTTTGGATACGGTCGATCAGGAACGGCTGTATAGGGATTGAAAGTCATCTTTTTTCACATTTATATTGGTATTGCAACACAGTTCATTCCAAACATATTCTTCAAGATGCGCCTGAACACATGTTGTGTTACTATATCACTTTCCTTTAAGGTTGATAGGTCAACGTTCCTTACTTTTTCAAAAAAAAAAAAAAAAAAAAAAAGAGTTTGCAAGTATCAACTGAGCAAAAGGGGAAATTATGTTGATCATCACTTATAACAAAATATCAACTTATATGTTATTATTACTAACCTTTGTACCATAAAACGGTTTACACTTTCAATGCAGCGTTTTAAAAAATATATAATTCGCTATATTCGAGCATGTGAATAAATGTCAACAACGAGTAAAGTTATGTGACTGCAGCAATATAATCAGGAATAGAAGCTGCTAGTCGATCGTGTAGATATATGGTAATGGTTCAAGTTTTTAAGATTATTTTTTTTATAAATATGATTTTGATATTGGTTTGCATATAAATTAACTTGAGCGATTGTCGGCAGTCGACATGATTTCGTGCACTGAGGACTTCTATAATAGATTTGGAAGCTGGTTAATAACAGAAACAGTTGGCAATAGATCTCTTTCCCGTTTAAGAAAATGATGTGGTTTTGGAAGACTTACAGAGTTCACTGATTGTCCTAAAATTGGATTTCAACTACATGTATAAGATACATGGTGCTAACTATACTAAGCGAATTAATTTTTACAAATTATAAAAGTCTTACAATTACAGCTATTTTAATTATTTAAATTTACTATTCCACATCCACACAGAATCTTTGCCATAAGTTGCTGCTAGTTATGATGCTTAACTGTTGATTTAAACATATTTTATTGCAAATAACAGATGTTGCAAACATGTCGGATACAAATTTTGCCAACTTATTGAAGTCCTGTTCGACAAAAATTAATTGATTACAATACATATTACGCAATGTTAGAGCTGCTTAAATATACATATGACAAGAAAGAATTGTAGGTAAGAGAGGGGAGAACGAAGGGATCGATATATCTTTCGAAACTGTTGTTTAAGTCACCAGCTTATCGGTAACAAATTGAACAGAAATCAAAACAATTACATAAAAATTTAGCAAATGTATATTAGCAATTCATTTAGATGCATTTACTTATAAAGTAACATCACACATGAAACTGAATAGGATAGTGAAGAACTGGATACAGGTATGCACTTGCTCAAGAAAGCTTGAGACAATCATTGGTTCGGAAAGGCTGGAAACAATCGTTAAACTCGAGACAAGTATTAACTCCAGGAGTCTGGTAAAGGATGTGCACTTAGGAATTGTGTATCATTTTAGATTTGAGATAACTGTGTGGATACCAATCTAATTAGAAGTATATCTTCACATCGTTCCCGTTTACTGATATGTCACGTGGAAGATTTTAATCAGATTGAGTGGATACAAGCTGGTGATTACATCACCACAGCGAAACTTTCTGTCTTGAAAGTACATCGACTCATTTATTGGAAGACATGGTATAAATGATACCAATGATTATACTGACTTACATTCTGGCAATAGCTTACATGAATTTGGAAAAACATGGCACAAGATACATTCGTCTCCGCGAAATTGCGGAAGATCAAGCCGCCTTGGAGGAAGGTTATGAGGTCATTGATCCATTTATGACAAGTTGTGATATACCACCTGTTATGTGTCGAGGAGAAATGTGTTTAGAGCCAAACGAAATCATAGTCACGCATTGTCTAAACGTTATTCCGATACCCAATCACGGAGATACGATAAAGGTAAATATGATAACCACACAGCAATCATGTAATAATTACCTTTACAACTGGCACTGCCGTTTGTAGTTGGTTTTTGCTACACACTAAATACAGACATTTGTATAAATTGATATTTCCACATGGATAACAAACCCTGTGATATCTAAACAAGGACAGGTAGCAAAAAGGGTGTCATTTTTAATATATCCTAGTCTATCCTAGATGCGAACGCCTCAAACCCAGAGGGAAAGTCTTCAACATTTCTTCAGATCTGAACATAAATTGACACCAACACGATGGGCAAACTATCTTAATGCTGAGAATTTTACTATCTTTCAGAATGAAACTTTAACAGATTTATACGCAGACATGAACAATTATGGAATACATGATCTCTTCTTTCAATGAATATATCAATTTAAAAACTGACCATCCAAATCGAAAAATAACGAGTTACAATTGTATTAAGTAATTTTATGGTGAATTTCATCTGATCTGTTTCGCAGGGTTTTCTTTTGTCTATGGTTACAGCACCTGTGATAAAGAAAACCAAGTTCATGTTTAGCTTGAGAACCAAAATATGTCCAAAGCAATGTAAAAATGTTATTTGATCCGTTGTGTTTGAAAGCATTTTATGAAGAGGTTTTTCTACTAATGACTTTTAGCTTTCTTGTGTCTGTTCGAGTTTGTCCTTCTACAGAAGCAACACTTGTAGGACGCCTCCTCAACAGCAATCTAGAGTGTTTGGACCACGCGAACTGCTGAAGACTTTAGCAGAATTCAAACAAAAATGAGAATTAATTACAGAATAAATGTAAGGACTATCCTTAACTAGGAGTGTCAGTCTATTAAATGGTTTAGATCAACACTCAATAAAATTGTGCTACCACTCGCACACATTGGATGGAAGGGTCTCAAAAGTTTATTTATTTTTTACCCCTACCTGATTTTTCACTTCAATAATCACAAGTCTGGTTGTTGTACAAACAAATGCTTTGTATCGTTGGAAAAAAAAAATATTTGTTTTCGTTTGCTAACCTTCTACATCTAAGCAAAATGTGTTTTCCTTGCGAAGGCAATATACAAATGTATCTGCATTTCCTTCCAAAACGCCGTGCCAATTAAATGTTTCAAGAATACTTACATACTGCCTACAAAATCCCTTGAAACACGGAAATCACAATTTGTCTTAAATGAATCTTTAACGTTTTAGACTTCCCCAGGAGGCTTGGCCGCGTGCTTTCCCGACTTGAGAATGTGTTATCAGTGATAATGTAAGCGAAAACGTCAAAACAAGACATACCAGGAAAGTTTATGCGAGAGGAATCAACACTAGATATAGAACATCGATGCAAAGAGCCAGATAAAGTGTACATTAACTGCATCAAATTGCGATTTCGTAAAAAGGCTCATAAGTAGTACAAAAGGTCAAAGGAAAGAAAACTCGTTTTCGAGATTTTCCAGACATATATGGAGAAATACACCAAAAGAAGTATGTAAAATATGTCTATAAAACCATTTATAACGTTTCACATTTACAACGTTTGGCTACAAGAGATAAATTATTTCTAAATCAAAATTTCGTATTACAAAATGTAGCCGTACCAGAATGAATTCCATCTGCAAGGTAACAGCAAGCGTCAGGGACTGATCATGAGGAAACCACCTCAAATCATTATTTCAACTTTATAATGCTTAAAAAGAAAGCCGAACAAAGTCAATATTTACTGCGCCATCATTCAGTGCTTAGTTACTGTTCATTCTTTTCAGTTAACATTCAAATTACAACATTGAATTTATGACATGTTGATTGCGAAATAAAATTAGGGATTTGGCGTTAGCTTCAGTCAGCAACAAGGCTGTAATATTTCAAGCAATACGTTTCTCATGGTCGTTCCTTCACTAGAGCCTCAAATATTGCTGTTGTAGCAATGTGTCCTCAATGTTGTCGTTGAAGCTGTCATTGTGTAACAGTTATTGACGCTGTGGTATCAGTGTCTTTTTTTTACGTTTAGCCATTGCGAGTCATCAGTAAATAGCAAGTTTGATAATACCCACATTTAGCGTTGTTCAAAGGGTTGATGATACCACATTTATAGAGGGTCAAAGGTTCAAAACGCCGGACATGGACAGAAGATGGTACCGCATAAGCTTTTTGTACAGCACGATGACGGTTATATTTATTATATATACAACGGTCATAGAAGACGTGGGATGCTGAAATCGGCAAGAATCAATTAAGTCCTTATTTCACTACTTTAGGAAGTAACGTCTAATGTGTCCCATACATAAATTAAACACTAAACTTAATGGACCAAAATAGAGTCTCATTGGATACAAAGTCATAGGGACTGGTTCTGCTATTTGCTCAATCGAGTCATTATCTAAACGAACCATTCTTTGATCCATTAAATCCAGGTAACTGACATGTTGCGACTAAAAATAGGAAGAAAAACGGCGATACAAACAGAGGACTGTGAACTTTTGGGAACATATTTTGAGAAAAACCGTTTGAGTTCGATCGGTGGCAATATTTTCCAGCAAACTGTTGGCATTCACAGTGCTGTATCCAAGCAGACTTTTGTCCCATAAGAGTTTGTCATATTACTTTTTTTTCCAGAGTAATCTAGTATGTTTAACTATAGATGCGTGTCGTTTATAGATGTTGTGCTTCCGGAAATTAGTGAAATAAGGACCAAATCAGCTCTTACCCGTGTCACAAGCAGACATTTTGGATGACTGTAGTGCAACATATATTTACCACTGTCAACTGCTCTACAAAGTGAATAGGGCTCAGAATCACAGCTATGAAATAGACCGTTTGTGAAAAACATATTATATGCATAAAATATATGCTTTTGATGTAATGGGGAATGACTCAATCGATATGTAAGGCCAAATAAATATATATGTTTCCTGTTTCGGCTCCAAAAAAAGTAGGGTAGGTAGGTAGGAAAAACATTTTTTCTTTCTTTTTTCTGTTAAAGAAAATCTTCCGATTACCTCCTAAAAGTTAGAAATATGTATTTTCCCTACGGCTTGACTCTAGTTTTTATCAATCCAAACTCACCTGATGGTCACCAGTGTAACATTCTCTTTTGTTTCACTGATGCTTTCTGTTCTCAATTTCCACTGCCATCAGTTCAAATTAATTGAAAACAAAATAAGTACATTTATATTTGCACTATATTTACAAAACAAGTTTTTTAATCTGTCATAAATGTCAAACCCAATCTGTCAAAATATACAAGTCTTCACTATTGTGAACTCAATCTCTCCACTCCAAACTTATCTCCAACTATAAACTGTAAAACTACACAGATTTACAAACTTCAGCTAAAAATACTATTATTACTAACTTCCTAATTCTCATGGATCACTTTAACCAACTTTTTAACTCTCCTCTATTTCTCTAGACCCCTCAACTCTGTCTCCCTAACTCAACCTCCTTCCTCAAGACTCATTAACTCAATTCCCAAACCTAACTCTCTTCTCATCCATTCACTTCCAAGCTAAACTACCATACTATCGTTCCCTTAGCAAAATCCTGCTGCATTAAAATTGTTGATACTGCCGAAATCCTGCTAAAATTTGACCCCTACATGACTAGGTTCAAATGGCTATAAATGTATGCATGGAAATGGAAACCTACCATAACCTGTATCAGATAAAGCAATGGAAAACCTTATACACGAGTTGTCAGCCTTGCAGCTAAGGTCCTGAGCTTTAGCTCTCAAGGGGGACTGTCAAGAAAGACTACATTTCCATTTTTCAAAGTTGACAACTAAGGGAGGCAACCAGAATGGTTTGCTCTATACTGGCAGCATTAACACAACAAATAGCAAAACACTTTTTTGTTACAAAATGAAACAGACTTTATTTACCTGTTTCTAGAGACATGGTTTTATATACAGCACTTAATATTTCAGAACATCTACACACAAAATGATACACTAATACCCGTCATCCTTGCTTACCGAGAGTGGGATGACAGCTGGGTTAGTTCAGTCACTATATCTGTTATATATGATGTACATGACCGATATCTACGGTATGATACTTAAACTACCTATAAATACGTTATATTGTCTCATCACACACAGACGTATATATCACCAGTAGCAGGAAACTGACTTAGTAGCAGGAAACTGACTTAGTAACAGCCTTACAACACCTACTTATTGTTCTGTGTTTGACAGGCTTTGTTTGGTCACCTGAATACAGTTGGGAACATGTTCAAAAATAACATCAGATATCCCCTCAGTCATATGGTTGAGATATGAGCACTTAAAGAATATTCATTCATCATTTTTATTTTATTTAAGTTTCTTAAACAAAAACAGTCTATTAGTCCCCTCCCCATAATAAACAATAACCACTTGCTTCCATCGTTTTATGTTATTCAATTAATGCTGTTGAATTAAACTTTCACAGTAGACTGGTGTCTGTATATTACCAGAGCCTGTCATTTACTGTATTAATACTCACAGTTGAACAGCCGTAAAAATCGTGAATGTACAACACATCGATGATATACAAAGATGTAATGTTCAGCACGGAATACAAGCCAGCAGTACTGTACTGCTACAGCTAGGCACCCATCATCAGTATACTATCAGTGAGTATCATATACTCTATTTATAGTAACAACCCCATGTAGGATATTGGCTACTACTGCCAGTACACATTGGAGTATATGCCTACTTGATATCTTAATGTTCCCAGGCAGACAACTCTTCTCACACAAACTGATTGCCACAGAATTGACTTTTTAAAATTAGCTGTTACTAAACAGGTAAAACACTATTTACAACATGTTGCAAAAATACAGACATCAAAGTTTACACAAAATTCACTCAAATACAAGTCCCATATTTACCTTGCAATAAGCCCAGGGGCCTTCACAGATTCTCAGACTCCAAGCAGGGGGTGGGCTTATTACAGGGCAATAAAATAGCATTTGTTGACATATCTACTGAACTGTAACAAATATGGGTGGGCATATTACCAGGCATAGGCATATTGCCAGATAAATATGGATATCTTCACATATAAACACAGATGTATAACAAAACTACCAACTACATGGTATTTTAATATGTGATAGTGTCAATCAATGTTTTAAGAATTATAACATCTTGGGAATAAAGATAATTTCACCCCAGTTAATGCCTTTTTCCCCATCAAGGTTAAGTTACCTGTGAAAGCAACAGCAATTTATTTGGGTTACAAACAGAATCAACATTAAGTCAACTAAAACCCACAAAAAATGTTTTCTTGAAAATTCAACACATAATCTTGCCTAAAGATAAAAGCAGATGTAATAGTTGTCTAATTTCTGGAGTCCTGTACATATTTGAAGTTGCATACAACTCCATACCATACTCACCATGGTTTATGTTTTAATATTATAATCTATTAGTATAGATTTGTTACAGATGTAAATTAATTGAGTCAATGATCTTGACAAGATTTGAAAACACAACCTATGCAGTTCTACTAACCTGAAAACTGACAGTCAAAACATCATCATAATGAGTAACTGATGGACAGCAATATTTATAAAAGTTAACTCGGCGAAGGATGTGAAATTTATATATCAATGATAACCCTACATTTAAAGCCACAACAATCACTTTGTCTCGGTAAGAAGATGGTTTAAGCACAATGAGGATGTATTGAATAATATTTCCCTTGGACAAAATCACTAAACATTAAATAATATCAAACTCCCACAGAAATTGTTCAACAGTTGACTACAATACATTTCCTTAGGCTGTGTCAATGTTCATAATTCAATAGATGTTCAGATATCTATACTGAACATCTATGTACTTGTCTTAGAAATTATTGTGTTACCGATACTGCTAGAAAAATATTTATATTGCGAATAAAATCAGAAACAAATTTAAAAGGAGGACAGTGTAATGATAACCTCGCAACACTGGTTACATGCTTATCACGCTTCATCTGTCACACATGTGTTACATAAATATCACTACCTCTAGGCAAAGTGATAACTTCATAAATACTTGTAATAGATGCAGTGTCTCTTTGACTGAATGTTATACCCCTCTCCCTTATGGAGAACTGGTAACTTCATAAATAAATTCATTAATTCAATGCGGTGTCTAACTGGAAGTGGTTACATGAGTCAGCGTTTACTGTTGTTATGCCCCAGTCCCCTCATTGGCATTTTAAAGTTGGCCGCTGCTTGGTTCTGTAGGTTGTAAGCCAGAGGGTGTATCTTAAAGCCATAAAGTCTGTAAAAACAAAACATAATGACAAAATTAAAAAACATATTTATTCCAAAGCACACATGATATTTGGGGCAAAACATGTACTTTATATATTATTATCCTACAAAGCTATTGATTTTTTACGTCGGCGATTTTCCACCATTCCAAGATGAGACCAATAAGGGGCGATAACTCTATAGTTTAAATTTTATCACCACAACCGTCTACTATATGAAGGGAGGTAACTCAAATGCTAAAACTATGACTGTGCACTAAAATATAAAATTGCATGTTCCTTCTTATTTATAACCACATAATATAAGTAATAATTAACCCAAGCATGAAACAAGTCTTCATTGTGATAACTTAAATTATTATAAGAAACAATTTTTAATATCCCCAATTTATTTGAGCTGAAAGCAAATGATTTTTTTGAATTTGGTAATATTTTCCTCCCTTTTTCTTGTTTTGAAAAATCAATGCTAAAAGCTGAAGGAATAACTTTGTAAATCATATCGTTTATGGATGATGGACATATTATGATAGCCAAAAACCAAAAACACTTCAGCAAACATTTGACCAATCTGATTAAAATCATCTGTTACATGACTCCGCCTGAACATCTGAATGTGCCGCGGTCAGGGTCACGTTCAAGTGACCTTTAGATGATCCAAACAGATTAGTTTTCCAAAACAAATATGGCGGTGGGAACTGATGTTTCTATGACGCCAAGGAAAACGTACCCATTGGGTTATAATTGTGTAGGCAACACCGCCATACAGTCTTTCTTCTCTAATAAAGCTTCGAATATCTTTTTCTGTTCGGGTTTCAGACGATCAATCTCAAATAACTTCAGAACTTTCTCGTCATTCTCATCAATGTCCGCCATATTTGTTAAAACTCCGAGCACCCTTTTGAAAGAGGGTCTCTGATTGGTCAAAATTTAATGAGTATTTATAAATATAAAGGTCACCTGAACGTGACCCTGACGCGGCACACTCAGATGTTTAGGCGTAGTACGAAGTTAACGAAGCCATGCAACATATGATTTTAATCAGATTGACATTTGACATCATACTACTTAAGGTTCAAATATTGTAATTCTTCAGGTATACAGATAAATCCATCAATGAAATAATGAAATCAAACTGGTACTGGCAATTACTGAATACAGCAATATTTAAATCACTTAAGATTAATAGCAATAAATGTTGACCGCCTGTTTGAGGCTACACCTACCTTGGGACAAACTGGTTGGCAGGTCGCTTTGGTCTGTACTCTGGATGGACCATAAACAACATGTGAGGGAAGCCTGTGCCAAAGTAAGACCCGTCTGTGTGATGATGGCGGGAGGACTTTGGTGTGTAAACATCCTGACACTTTGGACAGTAGAGCTTCACCATCGCCTCACCAGGTACATCCGACAAACCTGCAAAGATAAAACCGTTGAAAATATATTACCACCGTATGTAACTTACGTGTCAAAATAAATGTTATTAGAATTCAGAACAAAAGCCACAAAGTGCTACCTGATAAAACATGCATTACTGACAAGACCTCATGATCATGTGTCCTTCATTTGTGTATACAACTATTGAATGATGTTGCACAACAGAACTACTTTTTTGTTGTCAGTTCTCTCTCAAACATTTACCTTGATGCATTTTCCCTTAGCAATCGTAAGTCCTATAGTTACAAATTTTGTTTGTACAAGAGGCCCAAAGGGCCTGTATCGCTCACCTGTTTCTTTTGTTACGTGAAACTGACATATAGGTAACTTCAGACAAAATTCGGTAACTAGAACACAAGACATTTTAACATTTCTTAAACGGTTTTAAGGTATTGTTTGAAATTTGAAATTTTAATTTTAAAGCTTTTAACCCATGTTGACCTCTGATTCTAGCTAGCACTAGTTGACATTTGACCTCATTACTGTAATAAAGAAAACGACTTACACAGCTGGTCTAGATCTACAAAACCAAAGTATCATGACTCTAGACCAAATGGTTCTTAAGATATTGTTGTTTGAAGTTTTTAACATATTCGACCTCTGTGATCTTGAAAGTAGGTCAAGGTCATTTTAATGAGTAAACTTTATAGCATTCCATCCCAGGTACCTTCTGGCCAAATAGCATGACCCTGGGCCTTATGGAACTTGAGAAAAAGATTTTTAAAGCTTTGAACCCATGTTGCATTTGACCCCAGACTAGCACTCAAAGTTGACCTATGACCTCATTACCTATTGGTAATGTTGGGAGGAGGGTAATACTACCTGTTAGATACACTGTTCGTACCTATTGGTAATGTCGGGAGGAGGGTAATACTACCAGGTAGATACACTGTACTTACCAATGGGTAATGTCGGGAGGAGGGTAATACTACCAGGTAGATACACTGTACTTACCTATTGGTAATGTCGGGAGGAGGGCAATACTACCAGGTACATACACTGTACTTACCAATGGGTAATGTCGGGAGAAGGGTAATACTACCAGGTAGATACACTGTTCGTACCTATTGGTAATGTCCGGAGGAGGGTAATACTACCTGGTAGATACACTGTACTTACCTATTGGTAATGTTGGGAGGCTGGTAATACTACCTGGTAGATACACTGTACTTACCTATTGGTAACATTGCTTGGTTTTCACAGTAAACTCTCGGACAGTATCCAAAATCTCCCTGTTGCCATTTTTCAATCTGTCAATATCACAACACAAAATGAAACATAAATATATTTATATATTTCCAAATTACCTAGTTCATTTGTATATTGAAAACAACATAATAAATATCTAATGATGAAGAAATATTTGTAAATATATCTTCTACTTTTTATTTGGATTAATCAATCAATTATATTTACATTTAACCAGTCTTTTAACTTTTTGTGAAGAAAACCTTTCAGAAAGAAATGATGGAAGGGAAGTTAACTCTGCAAACATAAATTCTCTTATTTTAATAGATGACCTGATTCAAAAAAGCAAACTGGTTCAAAGATTTTGTTCATGAAACAAATAGAGGTCCCTACTGGAGTATACATTTATGTATATCTGAATCAAGCAATTTTGAAATTTTTCATAATGCATAAGGTTTTCCTGCATGTGTAAAGTTAGTACAAAAATTCATTGAAGAAAATTTTAAATGGAATAACAACAAGAAGCAAACAGAAAACAAAATGATTAAAAGTTTGATGCTGAAATTATGATGTTCTGATTTCATACCTATCATATAGAATACAATATAAAACTTGTGACGACCGAGACCATAAACAATAGGTTAGACAACATTACAGTAAAACTTTCTCAAGTCTTGTAGAATACAATATAAAACTTGTGACGACCGAGACCATAAACAATAGGTTACACATCATTACAGTAAAACTTCCTCAAATCTTGTAGAATACAACATAAAACTTGTGACGACCGAGACCATAAACAATAGGTTAGACAACATTACAGTAAAACTTTCTCAAGTCTTGTAGAATACAATATAAAACTTGTGACGACCGAGACCATAAACAATAGGTTACACAACCTTACAGTAAAACTTCCTCAAGTCTAACTAATATGAGTCATCTCACGTATCTCCTTATAGAAATGACTCAGATGTATGAAACACTGATGAGGCAAATATTCCTGCTTAATTAAAACAGATTATTTTTTTACCGAATTTATATAATCTTTGCAATCTTGAGCACCTTACCCTGTGAAAGTGATAAACAGCTAACCTTGAATGTTTATACATAATTTCACATATACTTGGTATGAAAATGTTAACTCATGCTTCTTTTTGATTGATAAAATAACCCTAGCCTATAATATAAACATGGTAAACTTGAAAACCTGTATAATTGAAACTATTTTCTTGTTTCTATTGGGCTTGATAAAATAAGCTGAACTGTAAATATAGTGAACAGAGCATTAAACTGTAAATTATGTCCAAGTTTCTTATATATAGTTAATGTCCACCAGAGGTATTATTACTGTGTGTAAAAAGATGTTTATGGGTATTTGTAGGCTGTCACAGTAAACAACAGTAGTGGTGGTGGGCAGATCTCTGTAAGCTCTCAAACAGACAGGACCTTACCATCTGTGCTATGCCCCTATTGGTCATGATGTAGCGGGCATGTATCAGGCCGTACAACATCTCAGCAGCCTGCTCTATGAGGTCACTTTGATTGGGATTGTCTTCAAGTTCATCATCTGATCAACAACAACATAACTTGGTAAACCCAGCACACTTTTTATATCAACATTAATTTAGCAAAGCTACAAGTACAAAGATTTTAGTTTGTTTTGACTAACAAAATTGATACTCCTGCCCTCAAAATATTTAAGAGCAAAAGCATCAAATCTTGTTTGGCAACAATAGAAAAACATGGCTATGATTTCAGGATTTCAAGTCAGGATAGGAAAGGTTTCGTTTCTTTCTTCATTCTTTGAAAATTTTCTGCTGCTGTATGCTGGTTTTAAAAAGACAAGTCTTGAAAAAAAAAATTAACAATTGACATGCAAACAATAATGTTAGTAGGTAACTGACTGGGCTCACCTTGATCAATGATATTAAAGTCTGGAGTAATTATAAAGAGTGTAACTTGTTATATAATCTTTTTATCAATTATAATAAATTTTAAGGGAATATTTTGATACCCTGCATGCATCATTACTACTAAACACATGAACAGGTTGAGTTAAATACAGAGTAAATACTGTTGCTTTCATAGACTAGTTTTGATACAACATACATGTACATGAACAAAGCCAGCTCAGTCACTATAGGGGATATTCCAGAAATAAAAGGGGAGGCAGCAGGGAGGCACTGTTTAAAGATAAAAATAACTGTATACCCAATTACCAGTATTTTATCAACTATAAGAGCATCCCCGTCCCCTTCCTATGTATATTTATGGAAAAGCCCCCAACAAATTTAATTAAAATTGACTAGTACTGTAGATCAACTCTTCTTACAAGTCTTGTCTTATAGTAATACCATAATGGTCATGCCCGGGCTTGTCATAAGAAACCTGGCATGGATCAATCCATATAACATGCCCGAGGCTTGCTCAACCAAACCATCTGGGGGCCCGTCTTCTCCTCCTCCCTCCTCCTCCTCCTTCTCCTCGTCATCTGACCAGGCTAAGGCAGGATTACATATTAAAGTATTTTGTAATCCACTATTAATACAGATGAATATTCCAAAAATTCAATCATATTGAAAAATAAAAATATACTACCACCCCTACAAATTAGTCAAGTGTGACCTTTAACATCAAAATCTCTTGCAGTGTTCGAGAGATGTCTTATAAACAGGTTTTTGCTTTCAAAGAGGTCAAGATACACCTTGATGTTTAGCCTAGACCAATGAGCACCAAAAGCTATTAGGTGTAAAACACTTATGTTCCAAAAGACAAGTGTTAAAATATTAAGTATTTGTGATGTGATCTTATTCCATTTAATAATAATAATAATAATATACAACATTTGATATAGTGCCCTATCTAGCTAACATAAGCCACTATAAAGCGCTTTACAATACAAAGATATATAATTAATATAATTAGCTTATACATTAATCAATACGATTTTGAGGAATTCACAGGAGCTGCCTTATCAGACGCTAACTGCTAGTCCTGGAGATGTAATGTAATTTGAGGGCCACTGAAAATAAGTTGACTGTATTAAATAAACAAGCAACACAAAAGGTTGAAATATCTGTCATATGATACATCTTAGACCACCTCAGCTACAGGAAACTTCAGAACATACTTCATGATATATACCAGGCTGCCTGAAGAAACTATTTCCAGATTTGTATCTACCTGTTGTGGAGAGAAGCCCGAAGGACCCTTTCACATTTTTATGAGACTAAACCAAATTCTAATGCTGACATCAATATTATAATGTGTTAATATACTGCAGCGATGATGAATTATCTTTATTTTAACATTGTTGATTTTAACATTGCTGATTTTTATTTTAATATTGATAATGGTTATTTTTACATTGATGATGGTTATTTTAACATTGATGATGGTTATTTTTACATTGATGATGGTTATTTTAACATTGATGATGGTTATTATAACATTGATGATGGTTATTTTTACATTGATGATGGTTATTTTAACATTGATGATGGTTATTTTTACATTGATGATGGTTATTTTAACATTGATGATGGTTATTTTTACATTGATGATATCACAAGGAAAAGGGCCCTTTTGTGTTAATGGAATCTGAATTCAATGATCCAATTCAAACTATGCAGAATGATCCATGTCTATGTTAAAAGGACAACATTTCTTAACCCTTTCACCACTGTAGACCATAATGGACCCCTCCATATCAATGCATGGTAGAGTCTTCTAAAGTTACATAGGGGTGAAAGGGTTAAATACCCAGTGCTGACACTGGCTATATGTTCCCGATTCTAGGTCCAAGAGCATGTGGTAATTAGAGGATAGGGCCTTATCACTACATGAACATATTCAATGCTTACATGTATATAATTATATAGTTCTAGGTTCATACGTATTTTCTATATGATGAGGAATCAAACTAAAGGGCTTTTGATAAATGTTCTTCGTTTATAATTACCAGGTTCTAGGTCTAAAATCATGTCTAAGGCCTGTCTGTAGTGGGGCACCTGCTCATTTAGTCCAGTCAGGTTGAATTTATCCTGTATGTAGTCTTCGTCAACCTGCAATGACAAAGACAATATATATACCATTTATAATATAAATGAAGTGTTCAGTAGAAATTTGCCACATTTGATTACAACAAGTTCAAAATTCAATTTTGGAGATAAAATAAAAATTGGTCTGCGACATTATAAATATATGTTCAGTGAACTTTTAGTTCTTGATATTTCTCAACAACAAAAATTCTCATTGGTGCATTTAGTAAAATAAATCTGATTTTAAATGACCAAAAATTAATTCATTTTTTAGAAGAAACACATGCATTTAGACTGAATCTTTACCATTAGAGAATTTAAAATATTGATACTTTTACATTTGTGTTCTAATGATATTGATAAATCTTATTTAAAATGAAAAGCTTTTTCCAAAGTTGCTATTTCATACACAATATTTAAAATCTATAAATTACTTCGCAAAAGAACTCATTTCCTCTCAGACCACAAAACCAGGAAATCCAGGACACCTCTTCAGAACTACTCATTTTCAAAGTGAAGTACAAAGTTCTGGAAATAAAAGACAAAAATAATGCAATTAGTGATTTTTGATACACAGATATTTGAGTCCAGGGCACTGCCTCATAGGCTATAGATTATGGTGTACAAATGAAATACCCTGGTATACTTAATCTGTTTTGAGGGGTTTATGATGAGTTATATATTATTTTGTATGCAAGTCTTTTACCTCAAAAGTGGCCTGCAAAACTCAGTGTGTGTTAATATAAACTAAACTTGCTGGGATGTAAAAAAATAATTTCAAAGCACTGGGCAAGTAGACCTTACCCAAGGCCCAGGCCATGCCCCTTGCCCATAGATAATTTCCACTTGCCCCTTAAAATGCAGATTTTACATACAAAATGATTATTTTTCTTCATGAGATAGCTTAAGAGTTTAGTGTTTACTCATTAACTGCAAATGTATAATCTATGTTTATTTAAATTTCAGTGCTTGATTTTTTTTCTGTTACTTTTTTTTATTGAAATATTAACCGGTTTCTTTTTTAATTCCTGAATAATATAACCTTTCACGTGGGAAACACATTTTGACGACACATGATATCACGTTAAGTAATACTGTAACAGAATTTGATTTGTTTTGCCCTAAATCCTGTTTTCACTACAGCTTTGCACTAAATCCTGTTCCCACAGGGTTGTTTCACCCGGATGTAAACATAATTTAAAAAGTTCTTAAATATTGTATTAAATGTTGATAATGATTAACAACTAGCAAGAGTCTCCTCTGGCCCAACACCAAACTTATACATTTTGACATATAGATGTCTGGTGTATGTGGGGCCAGAGCGTACTGCTATATGAAAACGTGGAATTCTCCCACACTGTTTGGTATCGGGGAGTGACCAATCAACAAAAAGATGCGGTCCGAAAATCTTCTAAACAAGAATAATGTAATCTGTTTCTAGTACCGATTAGTACGGTTTGTTGATTAGTCACCCCATGACCTACAAAAATGGCATTCGCTCAAGTGGGAAATTTTGAACAATTGAAAATCGAGGATGCTACTGACGGAATTTAGCAGCTATTGGTGATAATAAGAGCTGATTTGGATCAATAAATAATCAATTTTTCGATATATGTGAGGTATGTGCTGTGTCATAGTAGATTTTTGTTGTCAGCACCTCATAACTCTTCGATTCCAAACAGTGTTGGAGAATTCCCCGTTGTAATGTAGCAGTGTGCTCTGGCCCCACACCAGACATATATATATGTCAAAATGTCTTAAGTCTGGTGTTAGGGCCAGATTAACAACTTACTGCTTGCTATGATATGTATCACCATGGAATTAGATTAGTCTGTAGTATCACAAATAATTGTGTTACTTGGAGATATTTAGCAATGTTTTGTGAAGTATCAAGAAATATATCTCATATTCATCTGGTAGACCAGGTGATTAATTAGTGACCATGTATGTAAGAATAACTGTGTATAAGCTGTTACACTACATGCTTTTACAGGCCTTAACCCTTTAAATACTTTTACGATGAAAATATCTAAGTTCAAAATTAACTGGACAGTGGTGCATACAAACCAGAGTGAACCTGTATTATAGTAATATAGAATAATACATTAATTCTGTATTGAGTTAATTTGTAGTATAATTAAAAGGCAAATGAGTCCCATTTACTATAATACATGGTGACGGATTGTTTCACTCTGAATCAAAACAATTGTTCTACAGTGATTTAAAACAGTCACACACATCACAATACCGGAGCTATACCAACACCCTAGCTATCTCTACTCTACTGGCCCTGCTGTGGGCCCTTGACTGGCCGAATGAAAATTTTGTATTGTAAAACTGATAAAGACCATCGAACATATAATGTTAAAAGTGTAATGTATGTTATCTGAGCACATTAGTTTGAATATATGATTGAACTAGGTGTGCTCTAAAGTAACATTGTTAGGGCAACAGTAAGCTATCATAGACCGAACCGGTGAGTCTGCAGAGCGTTTATACCGACCAAGAAGACCACATACTTTCGTAGACCAAATTCAAAGCTGTGAGACTTTCCTTCAAATTCTTCAACGCAAAATAGTACCCTTAATGTCGGTTATCTTACAGTATATACAGAATTATACGCACTTACATTTGCAACACTGATAAAAACTGTCTCTCTTTCACATCCGGTTTATCACGCACCTGCGTAACAAATGAAAATGTGTTTCCGGATTTCAGTTTTCAATCTATTATTTGACCATTTCAAATCTGTTCTCTTTAGACCTGAAATATGTATCAATAAAAATAAGCATAAATTAAAATTTGCTTTGAAAAAACAGCAGTTGCATAGGTTAATGTAGAAATTGTACAAATTTAAAGGAAAATTGTGTTCTTTCACCGGGCTGCGTTTGATATTTTATCTACATATTTGTATTTCCGGTATCAAAGATGGCGGGAAATAAACAAAAAGAGTGTTGTTAGCTTTGCTCATGTTACATGCCTGCAGAAAGAAGAACTATATACGGTGCTAAAGGTGATTGTATTAATTCAGCAAGAACCATAGTGAATAATCGTCAAACTATTAGAGTATTCAAAGTTAAAGTGTAATTTGTCTTGCATTGAATCTTACGTGCATCACCAGCTGATCACAGCCGATCCGCGAGTAAGACAGGTTGGCCATGGGCATGGCATGGGTACACATGCAACCATGCGTATGGGTAATAATATAATCCAGCATTTCGGTAGCAGTGATAGTTTACTATAACAGATATGTTAATGAAATGGGAAACACATACACTTTTTTTTAAACATTAAGACCGAAAAGGCCATCCATTTTCCCCACATCCAATAAATAATAAAATGAGTTACATTGTGCACAAAAATCGATTTATTTTTATTGAGCACGAATCATCATGGTGATTTCTCAAAAAAAAAGGAGAAAATAATCCAATTGAATCAAAATATAGACCAATTTGATATTTGGTGAATAAAACATGAACTGTACACTGTTCATGCGACCTTTAATTTCTGAAGCTGTATGTATATTGGTGAATGATATGAACGTGAGCTGTATAACGATAATATGGTTATATACAAGTGAAATTAATGTGACTATGTAATTAATCAACTTACACCCACACTACTAGTTATATTTACCTTAACCTTGTTTTATATAGTCAATGTGTAACGTACAATTTATATGATATCTTTTTTAGAAACAAAAACATGGCTGAAAGACCTGAGGATTTGAACCTTCCTAATGCTGTAGTCACCAGAATTATAAAAGATGCTGTAAGTTGTGTCATCACTGGATTTTGTCTACAGTACTTTTAAATAATATTTATGAAACAATACTGAATTACTAACTGGATGTAATTCCATGTTACTTTCAATAAAAAATATTATACACTGTACTACTTATCATCTGTAGTAAAATGTGGCATCATTACACTGCTAATACACAATTCTGTTGTGGTTTATTATCTGAATGTTTTCATTCTGAGGAGATAATATAAGTTTAGATTTTTGGATGGTCACAGAATTCAGTTGATGTCCGATGTAGATCAAGGTTATATAAAAACATGTCAAATCTAATGTCTAATTACTTATTTATATTCCATTTGTAGAAGATTCGTTTATGTAAAGTTTGTAATTCTTGTCAAATATTATTGTCGGATGAGTTGGTAAATTGAATAGCTATAGCTGCTATATATGTTTGTATTATTGTGATGACAGACCCTACAAGTCATTATTTCACCACTTTATAGGGTTATCTTGTCATGTACAGGTTCCATGGTAACAAAATTAATATTCAAAGTAAAAATATGAAGTTATTCACTCTGAAATTCTACTGATCATAAGGAAACTTATTCTGAAGATATAACAAATCTGAATGGATGTTTTATTAAATGAATCCTGAATTTTAGATCCCAGATGGTGTGAATGTATCCAAGGAAGCTAGATTGGCCATCTCTAAAGCTGCCAGCGTGTTTGTGCTGTATGCTACCTCATGTTCCAACAACTTTGCCCTGAAGGGGAAGAGGAAAACCATCACTGCCCAGGATGTTATGTCTGCCATGGACGACATGGAGTTTGAACACTTTGTAGATCCTCTGCAGCAATGCTTGGAGTGTAAGTGAATGTCCTAGATGTATCAAACTTTTCAAATTTAGTCTTTTAATATGGTGCAGTAAGCAGCCCCCCCCCCCCCCCCCCCCCACCAGTGCAAATTACAAGGTTCACACAGGAAAAAATCTGCATGAATGTGAAGCAAGTGCATGAGAACAACTTGAATTTCAAATTGAAAAAATACTGTCCTCTTGAAAGCACATAAATTTGGAAATGTGTTTGACTTATTTTGCAAAGGAATTTGAAATCAAATTTAAAGCAAGTCTGTTAAATATCGCTCTTGTTATAATATAATGTATATATACATGGAGTCAAAGGTGAAGAGGTTGTTTGTTGTAACTTGTATGTAACTGAAGTCTTCAATTCCTGATTGCTTTGTGATTCCAATTTCCAAGTACAGTAACTACATGTACAGTACATGTATTCTGGTCTTTTTATTACATCCAGAAGGTTTCATAGCAAATTGTAGACCATGTGAAATGAAAGTCTGTTAAGTTATTAATATAAGTGTAAAATATTGCATTGGGTGTTTAAGAGGGCAATGCCCCCCTCCCNTGGCAGATTTAGCATACGCATCTGACCTCAGAAAAAAAAAATGCATCTGGTCAGAAAGATAAAAATTTCAAGATTTTTTTTTTAATTACACATGAAAAGTTCTAGAAAAATGCAGATCTGTTGAATTTTAAACCTGTCTCTGTTAAATATTGCATTTCAATTCAGATATAATATTATCTCAGTTCCTAAAATATACATTGTATAATATGGAATAAGTCTGATAAGTCATAACATCAGTATGATTCAGTATGGCACCTGGAACTGAACAAACAAATGTTGGTTGGATGTGTATCACTTAGATAGATTTATGGGAAAAGAAGTAGTAACAATAGTGCAGACAAAGACACTTGTGAAATTTTCAGGATGATCCGCCCCTTTTTCGAAACAGAAAGATGAACATTTCCATATTACAACATTTAAACGGAATATATATGTTTTGGTAAATTTATTTTATTGTTGTACAGCTTACAGATTAGGACAGAAAAATAAGAAGGAAGCAGCAACAGAAAGAAAAAAGAAGTCGCAGATAGAGGTGCCTGTGGTGGAAGATGAAGAGGAAAATGGGGATGGGGAAGATGATGGGGATGATGACGATGATGATGATGAAGATGATGATGATGATGATGACAGTGGAGATGAAATTCAACAGAACACAGATAATGGTGCGGAGGTTAAGGAGGATAGTGCTGAGGTAGAAGAGGATAGTGATGTGGTAGAAATATCAGATGAAGATGGTTGATTTGAATTAGTGTGAAAGCAGAAATGGTTTACTGTTATAGATGACATTTTATTGAGAAACAATGGTATTCATCCGGACAGGAGAAATGGTTTACTGTTAAAGATGACATTTTATTGATAAACAATAGTATTCATCTGGACAGGAGAAAATTATTTTTGACTTGTGATATGACAAATCATGATTAAATTTAGATAGATTTCGAAATCGGAAATTGAATGTCAACGTCTCCTAATGTCAACGTCTCCTATACCTAACTTCTGAAACACCATACCTCCACCATTATATCTCTTAGTACCAATTTTAAGTAAACATTGGTCTCGAATCACCATAGCTTGTTTATGTCCATTCCAGTAAGTACATCTCAAAGTAAACATGCCTGTTATACCAGTGGTACTAGTATGTGAATATCTGAATCAGTCCAGCAAGATTTAGTACATATTTTATGTTCTTAATGTTAACCTGTTGTGAAAACATCTAGTACAATGTATTAATATTCAATTTAATAATACACACCTGTGTGGAGGGATTGATCTAATGAAGATAAAGGTATCTGTTCCATGTTCATGGTGTTTATTTCATCTTCCATCACATGTTACTTGTGATTGTTGTTGAGTAAGGATTGAGTTGTGCTGCAAACAATCAGCGGCACATTTCTTAAAATGTTATCACTTTGTGAATATGGGAACATCCGTCAATAAAAACGTAAATATTTGTGATGTTCATTGTATCTTAAGTAAATGTTTGATTTGAAGTGTGGTGCAACGTTTTCTTGCCAACTACCAAGAAACGTTGATAAGTCAGCTGTCATTACATTTTGGACAGTAACTTCCCTAGATTTCATAATGGCTGTATTCTAGGTGTGAGGACTTGGCGATTCATATCAGATCATGGAAACTTATATAAATCTAATAGGATGACATATTCCAGAGAAGGAATACCGTTGGCTTGTGACGGGAGAAGACACTGTAGTGACTCGAAATGCAGATTTCGACACAAGTGATATGAAAGGGGGAAAACTGATACAAGTTATTTGAAAGGGGTAAAAGGCTGATATAATTTATAGAAAAGGAGAAGGCAGACAGACACCAGTCGCTGAGATGCCAGTAAATTATAAGTGGAAGGACGCTTCTACCAGTGAATTGAAAGGGAGGAAGTTGATACCAATAATTTAACAACGGGGAAAATGGTTGACACCACCGAAATGAAAGGGGATGAAGACTGACACCAGTAAATTGAATTTGTAGAATGGAGGAGAAGGCTGATAAAAATGGCTTGACTGGAGAAGGTTGATATGACTTGAAATTGGTACTAGTGACTCTAAAGGTGTGTGTATTGACACAGTGAATTGAAAGGGCTTGGAAAGCTAATACAAATGTACCAGTGACTGGAAAGGATTGAGGGATGATACTGGTATAAAAAAGGGGGCAGGCAGATATCAGTGACTACCTAAAATTGTACAAAAAAAATATGCAAAATATACCCCCAAAAAATGCCCCGAGCACATCAGAGCGTTTCTAAATTTGATTCCCTCAGCCGGGGCAGCGGTAGGAGAGGCCTCAGGTTTTTTGTTTACAAACATGACACCAAAAAGTTTCCCTGCAGTTTAACATTTTCTAAATTTCATTGCAGAGAGTGTTAAATACCAAATGAGTTGAATAGAGATTTAAAACCAAAGAACAGTGATTCCAATTATTTCAAAATCCGAGAAGTCTATTGTTTAACATTATATTTGGTAGGTGTACGTTGCCAGAACGTCGAAGAAACACGAAACTATTTACGTTTCAAGAAGAAAAAATATTACGAAATATGTTATATAACTAACTGTATAGGCTTCCGTAACAACGTTACAGAAGACAGTCAACGTTTAAAGCAAGTAAAATTAGGAAAAATAACGGTTTGATCGTCTCGGAAATTTCACTTAAAGTTTTTGTGACGAATGGTGTATTGCAGCCTTTAAGTATCCTCTGGAGTCGTTTTATTGTGTCCCAATCTTCGATCTTGTGTTTTAAAGTACCCTTAATTCGTCAAAATAGGATTTTTCAATAGACGGATAATTCAATAATTGTAAACCAAAGCGGTCCAAAGTCGCGTAATATTTTGAATCTTTGCATTGTTAGCCAGCTCCAGTCATCCTTCAAGGTCCACATTTACTTCTAGTCCTTCAATCGCAAGTTTGATGCTGACATTGTGACAAGTTTTGGAGCTGCACACGTCTTTACAAGATTGCATAGCCGTCTTGAGTTGTGGCTAAACTAGGGTAAAGATGGCATTTACCGTTAAAAAGGTCTCTTTATATACACATGTACTTTACATAAAAAACAACACCCGAATAATTTAACCCCTTCTGAAGATACAAATATCATATTCTACACAATGCGATACAGCTGTGTTTTATTATCGTATGTGTCGCGAATTCAACGTTATATACATTCGGCTGGGAATGGTAAAAACAAAGTACATTAAACATTTACACGACCCGTCCCATAACATGTTGGGTAGCATTGCAAAAATTGGAAGCCGAAACCCTTGAAAGCTGAACACCAAACTCAGTAACCTGAGATGCGGTAAGATACGCGTAATGTTAAGCTCAAGTAGGTCTTGGAAAAACTAAGCATTGGTGGGTTCCGCGCTCAAACGAAATTGTTTGTAACTTGCTAAAATCATGTTGCACGGTAAAAATGTCAAGTTCAAACATACTGAAAAGCTTTCTGCTTGAAGTTTCTTTAAATTACGGACAAAATGTGATCTTTTTATATATTTATGCATGAAAAAAGAACTGGGCTCGTATTCATGAAGCCGTTCTCATGCTCAAGGATGGATTCTGTGCTCAAACCAACTTTCTTTTAACACACTTCAATCATGTCAAACGATCAAAACGTCAAATGTAAACATTGAAAACAGTATTTGGCTTTAAGTCTCCTTAATATTTTTTAAAATCATTGACAAAATAAGATTTGTTTATTAACTTATAAGCAAAACAAGAAATTAGGTTTGAGCACAAAATCCATACTTGAGCACGAGAACGGTTTCATGAATACGGGCCCTTGGGCTCGAGCACAGAATCTGAGTTTTACCATGAGAACGATTTCATGAAGATTGTGACAATTGTGATTGTGCGGTATTATTCCAGGTTATATTTTATAACGTAGAGAATACGGGCCCTTGGGCTCGAGCACAGAATCTGAGTTTTACCATGAGAACGATTTCATGAATACGGGCCCTGGGGCTCGAGCACAGAATCTGAGTTTTAGCATTAGAACGGTTTAATGAATACGGGCCCTTGGGCTCGAGCACAGAATCTGAGTTTTACCATGAGAACGGTTTCATGAATACGGGCCCTGGGGCTCGAGCACAGAATATGAATCTGAGCATGATATATCTTAACTTAGGCCTATCCTTTCAGTATGCTGTCTATGTAATAATCCATGCGGTGCTAAGGCGTTGATCTCTGATGTCGTCCTCAACACCATAGCATCTCTCAAGTATTTACTATTATTGGGAAAGGATACGCCTTAGATTAAGATATCAGCATTTTTTCATCGATGACTTGTTTTATTGACGGTATTCGGAATGTTAGGCTAAGTAATATTCGACCTGACAGCGTATACTGATATATACAGAGGGTTCACCCAACTATCAGCTTTTCACCAGACACTAATTATAGGAATTTCTATAATTGACGACGTGTGTCTATTTGTGACTACTCATAAACAGAAATGTTAAAGGATTATGTACGGTTTTTTTCGCCCCGAATATATTGCATCAAAATCTTAATCTTAACCCAGGAATAAATTTTGGGTGTTGCCCAAAATTTTAAACTCAGAAAAAGACAATTTTTTTGTACTTATCTAGAACTAATACATTAGAATTGTCATGTCGGTTGTACATGTATTCTACTTTCTGGCACCAAACAATATATAGAACTTCATTATTTCTGAGATTGTGACAATTGTGATTTCCCCACCGAGCGGAGCGAGATATTTATTTTTTCTGAAGATGTAATACTAAACTATTTCAAGCATTGCCAAGCGTAGAAAGCAAGAATTTATCGGGTATTATTTTCATTGTCAAACAGATCGAGTGAGGCATAGAATAGTTTTCTGAGTTTGCGGTATTATTCCAGGTTATATTTTATAACGTAGAGTATCTATATTTTATGATGGCCGAGCGGAGCGAGTGTTAACAAATTCTGTAAAAAAATGGTAAAAATGTAGGTTTTTGGTTAAAATGTTGATGTTTGTGTCATGTCCTTCATGTGCATGTAGTTTAGGCGAGCATTTTGGCAATAACATATTGATTTATTTTGTCATAGATATGAATTATGATTGAACTGTTTGATTTTTATTGTGATTTTGTACGCATAAATATGTACAAGGGCAACATCTAATGAAAAACATATGCATGGCAGGCTCTTATGCTAAAATTTGTTAACTAATATTCTCCTGATAAAGTGATGCTAAGGAGGGTGCTTCATTGTCTTTGAAATTCATATTTTTTAATTGGTATAAAAAATCACTCCTGATGATTCAACTTTTTTCTTATATGCATTTTGGTAAAGGGAGTTAATGGCATAGCAGTAAAGGCAAAACAAATTTATGTCTGTGTGCTCGTTTTTGTGCTATGTTCGGTTTAAGATACCAATTTGACATAATATGTAATTTTAAGTGAATTTTGTTTTTTGACCACTTGCAGGGCAAATTCATACATCTTCCAAGTGTGTTATCAGAAATGTATGAATGTTTGCAGACTTGACAAAAACAGTATTTTCTCTAGTAAGTTATGGAAGTAAAATTTCTTAAATTTATTCTTTTAACTCAGAAAAGCAATTTAAGATACCCATACCCCTTATTTTTTATTGACAAATACTCATTTTTCACCATTTTTTGCAGATTTAATTGGGGTCCGTTTGCTTCTTCTTTGTCCCGGCATAAGTATTTTTGTTATTTTTCACCATATCGGAGTCAAAAATCAAAAGTGCTTCAGTTACAGTAAATATGTAAACAAAAACAAAACAAAATACCAAAAATGTATGATTTTCCACTTTAGCATTTTTTTCATTGTATTGAACATTATAAAGTTGCACAGCAAAAATGAACTAGCTACAATTAAAAATGGCGACACAATGACGATTTAAGTGATCAATGAAATAGGCCTACACATTTTCAAAATGGCCACTGAATTGGTCATTTTTTTAAATTGTTGTGAAAAAAGTCCTTCAGACAACAGTTATCTAGATTTTGACACATTCGTTTCATATGCGTCTTTGCTATTAAAATTGATCATCGATCTAAATTGTTAAATATTACAAAAAAAACCTTACACGACATCAAAACGAGAATTGAACGTGATTGAAACCTCCTTAATACTATAGTGCTCTATAATTTTCAAGAGAAAAAAAGCAAAAGCTTGAAAAAAATGACATAATCTTCGAAGTGTAAAAATGTACAAAAACGGTGATCAAATTGTGAAAACAACCGGATTAGCAAATGCTACGTTTCCCTCTGGTTATATCCTTTCACTGTATTCCGGATTTTGGCCAACATTTGGAAATTATATTAGTAGCCCATGAAGCTTTTCCTGTTATGATCTGAGGAGCAGTAAGTGGTGAATCTCAAGATGTCTATAGCTTACAGCATTCAATGCGATTCTGCAGATTAAAGAAACTCACACTATTTCACGATACTTCAACACCTTTCAAGGGTGATTCAAAGGTACTGGCCTGTCACAGGCGATGTCTCAAAAATACATGACAGGGGTTCGGCCTATCGAAAACAGGTTGGGCACAACGGCGCACATGGGTTATAATCCTGCATTTGGGTAACAGTTACCTGTAATAATGTGTACAGTAGCAATTTTATTACTGAAATTGGGAATAAAGTGAAATATATACCCAAAGATTTGTTGTAAACTGTTGTTTTTCTTCTTGGGTCAAATCTCTGTTGAAGGAATAATGAATGGTGTGGTGAAGCTGCAGCGTTGAGACATCATTGTTAATAAAGTGTGTAGCTCAGACGATTAAAGCGTTTATCTGTAGTTCAGAGGTCACTGATTGAATCATGGTCTCATCATTGCATTTCCCCACTCCTGTTTATGAATTACATATACAATAATGCCTAAACTATTGTTAAAATTATAACAACTTATATCCAGTCCGATATTTAAACTTCCCATCTCCTGTGAATATACATTGTATGTTATTAGTCTTACATACAAGATACAAGAATCTTTATTTAGTGTCGAATATGTTTAAACAAGAGCTTAAGCTTTTAGGAGTTTGTACTTTGACAAACATAACTGATCCAACAGTTTAAATGAAAATGTATTTTTTATACTCTCACAAACAAAGGTAGGGGAAGGGTTAATTGTACAGGAATAACCCCATTCTGTGAGTGTCTATAGAGGTACATGTATATACTTAATTTTAAATGAATATTTTATTTATTTGCTATGATGATGAGACATTTTTAATTGAAAACTCAAAACCTTTTTTATTTTTACATTTGCAGCAAACTGAGAGAAACATTCAAAAGTGCAACAATGAATAAAAGGAAAAGACTGAAGCCTAGCATTAGGCCTGCAGAAATGGTTGTTTCTGCAAACAGGGAGACTGGAGGTAGGATGCATAATAAAGACTGGCTGTCAACACTCTCACTGGAAATTTTATGTCATGTTTTAGATTATCTTCCCTTGAAGGATGTGATGAAAATGGACCACAGATCTAAACAGCTACATGAAGCAGTATCATTACATTTGCGAGTTAGGAAGAAGATTGATTTTACAGAAAAGGATTTTTTTGGCTGGATGTCCCAGACAATAACAGATAAAACTCTGAGCAATCTGTTGAGTCGTTGTCGAGATTTAGAATATGTTCAGGGACTGCATGTGCCATATATAGCCAAACGTCGTACTAGAGGGTTGGATACCCTGAGTGTTCCGGGAATCACAGAAGCCCTTGCTTTATGCACAAATCTCAAAGGAGTTGAGATTTCAGACATATTCCTTCTTGAAGCTGTTTTGGCTTATCTACCAGAGGTAGAAATTTTAGGAACCTTCAAGAATAGAATTGGAAATTTTCCATTTGATGATGCGAATAAACTCATATTATCAGAGAACCCAAGAATCACATCTCTTCACTTGATCGGTGTAAGTATTCCAGAGTTACCTCCACTTATGTACCTGAAACATCTCCAGTTGCGGTGGGTGAACTTGTCAGGTCCCCATCCATTTATGGACTTTGCTGCGCCTCAGCTACAGACATTTGTCATGGCTCACTGTGGAGGACCAGCCAACTCCAACCCACTCAAGTATGTCCGGCTGATTACCTCTCTTGCCACATCACAGAATCTAAAAAGGCTGGAACTAATACGAGTGCCAATCTTAGGTTTGTCTTATGTGATTATTTTACTTGTAATGCAAGTGATTGTTAGAATTATGTTATGCATTAAACTTTTTCTTTTTTTCCCCCTTTTTTAAAAATTGGCTTCAAACTATAAATAGTCGTTTTTAATTAAAAGAAAAAGTACAATTTCTGTCTTTAATTGTTTGAAGCATACTTGCCAACTCTCCCTATTTAGGAGGGAGCCTCCCGATTTTGGACCCTTAAATTTAGTATTTTCAACCAGTGAATTTGCTAACCTATTCCTATATTCTGAGATCTATTGATTTCATCTGAAATAACAACTCAAAATATGTAATTTCAAGGGTTATTTTGCCTCTAGGGGGTACATACACACATTTTATTTATATTTTAATTTCGAGAATGCAGAATCTCCCCCATAGAAATTAAAAAAAGTTGGCAAGTAATTGAAGTATGTAGCTTAATTCTGTACGTACTGAAATGAAAATCATGAAAATCAGCTACATGATGTATACATAATTTGCTCTTATGGTAAACCTTTAACAATGACAAAATACCAATAATTTATTCTGAGCCATGTTTGTGTTCCCTGACAGGAGGACTCCTTCAACATGTTGTAGAGGATAGCTGGAGGATTGGAGGCTTCAAGAAGATCAACCATCTCAAGTTTGGGGCCTGTAAATTCATTCTGGAGATGGATATTGGTTACTTGGTTATCACAGCAGCCCCAAAGTAAGAAACCGTCACATAAATATGGAGGCACGGTAGTCTAGTGGTAGGACGCTAGGCTCGTGACCGAAGGGTTGCGGGTTCAATTCACGTCACGGCACGGCAATGTGTTGAGCAAGATACTTTACTCCCCTGGTTCCAGTCTACTCAGCTGTAAATGAGTATGTGGTTGAGCAGAGCTAGAGTTGTTGAATGCTAGCTGTTAGCGCCAAAATTGCAGCTCCGGCTGTATGCTCCCCAGGGAGTTGAGAAAGATATTGGCTGGTTGCAAAGGCCCTATAACCACAGATAATAATTTGTGAACTGCTTTGAGACGACCTATGAATTAGGTTATGATAAAGCGGTATATAAGAACCTCAAATTATTATTATTATTATAAATACCTATCCTCTAGACTGTTGATTCAAATGATGAAGTGGTCTGAAAGAACACTCCTTAGTTATGGGCGTCACATACATGTAGCACTGTTAGTTGTGGACCAACCTATTGACCACAAGGCTGGAAGTTCGAATCTCAGATGACTGAGTTAGTTAATATCATACTTGCAAACTTTTTGAAATTTACATGGGGGAGATTACGCATGCGCAGAATTGAAAGCATGAATAAAATGTGTGTATGGACACCCTAGGGAAAGATAACAGTTTTAAATGGCATCTTTTGAGCAGTTCATTCAGATGAAATCATCAGGTCTTAGAAAACAGGAATAGTTTAGAAAATTCACCGGTTGAAAATGTTCTTTTTTAGGGTCCAAATTGAGAGCGAGTCTCCGTCCAAAATAGGGAGAGTTGGCAAGGATGGGTTATAAGTTTTTGAGTAACCCCTGTTGCTCAATTCCACCTGCCTAGAGGGGAGTATGCTATGGTTTGGGTATAGAGTATTATGGACTGGTTTCTCTGCGGTATTACTTAAGTGTTATGATACTATAAATGAACTGGTGGATATATTGACAAATAACGAGCAGACACCTATACAACCTCCAATATACACACAACCCTCACATATGTGGTAGTACAAAATAGGATCATACTTTAAGATACTTTTAAGCACGACTGCTCCCTCACTCTGTGATTGTGATGTATATATGTCTGTAATTTCTTGAGTGTTCAGTTACATGGAGTAATTTCCTCGAGTGCTCAGTTACATGGAGTAATTTCCTCGAGTGTTCAGTTACATGGAGTAATTTCCTTGAGTGTCAAGTTACATGGAGTAATTTCCTCGAGTGTTAAGTTACATGGAGTAATTTCCTCGAATGTTCAGTTACATGGAGTAATTTCCTTGAAACTTGTTAGGACACTGTTGTAACCAAAGTGTATAATAACAGCTTAAAGAATATATACACAGTGTCATTAAAACAGGACGGTGATCGTCTTAACTAAAAAGTACAAGTACATCTGAGGGATGTCAATTTTCTCCCAGTGTGTTGGGAAAGACGATATATATTTAGGCATTAGGACCATTGATGTGTTTAATGTTTTGGTTTCATTGATAGTTCTCACCTGCTGTTTTTATTTTGATGCAAGTCAGCCTTCAGTGTTATCAAAAACAACATATTATGTTTGGAATTTCACACACACTGGCATTCTACAGTAAACTTGCTACTACAGTGTGAGTTTTTATCTATGTTTTCAGTATAGAAGAACTGAGCCTACAGCCTTCAATGACTAAGGACAGCCTATTCATATCCCTACGTCTGGCAGACGTTTCTTTCAAATTCCTTCAAACTTTACATCTTGGTTTTGTTGATGCTTTTCCAGAGCCAGGTAACTATAGTTTATTTGTAAATATTTACCATCGTATGGCATTGCCACTATATAACCCTACCAAATTCAGTGGGCATTCATATAGGCTATGAATACCATGGACCGATTGTTGACGTCATCATTAGTGTAACGTCATAATTGTTATGTTGGATACCACTGACCCTCCCTGGGTGATGGCTGTTCTATTCATTGAGCAAGCATACACGATACATTCATTATTTGAACTAAATGCTGAATAATAGTAAATGTAATTGAATTTTCTATGAGATGAATAGACAAAATGAATTCCAACTGGACAAAGGCAAATCCAACATGAAGCGCTATCGCGCTTCATTGAATTTGCCTTTGTCTAGTTGCCATTCATATATCCTATGAATGCCAACTTGAAGCAGTTCAATGCTGAAATATGTCATTTCTGAGTTGATTCCAGATGAAAGTATTAATAAATTTATTTATTTATTAGTTGATATCCCTAGCCACTACAAGACAAATTGAGTGATAGTCATGTAGATAGATTTAATTTTCAACAGTATTAGTATTACCTTTTGAGAGAAATGTAATTTGACTGGAATTCATATGAAGATGTGATAACTTAAAATTGGACTTAAGGGCAGTGGACAAATGAGGACCTGATTGCAGAACACTTGTCGGATGTGGTGGAACACCCTGCCATGGTCACAGATGTCGGGATGAAATCTGTTGGGCAGTGTTTCCCTGAACTCAAACATGTACAGATCTACAACTGTCCACACATCAACAACCCTACATCCTGGCTTATATCTGGTGAGTCAGTTTATCTATCTAGTCCTAAGGTTATGCAGTTCCATCATACCATCAGATATTTTTAAATTAGAAAGAAAGGTCTTTCAGTATAGTTTATGAGACCTGTACCTACACTGAAGAGTTGTTAGGGCCTGTGAAATGCCTGTCGCAATGAGGTAGCTAAACCCTCATAAAGTTTTAATAAAAGACTGATTTTATAGACAGTAGATGATAGGATTGGTTAGGATTTTGTAGAAGTAGATGATAGGATGGGTTAGGATTTTGTAGAAAGTAGATTATAGGATTGGTTAGGAATTTGTAGACAGTAGATGATAGGATTGGTTAGGATTTTGTAGAAAGTAGATTTGTAGAAAGTAGATAAAAAGATTGGTAAGGATTTTGTAGAAAGTAGATGACGGGATGGGTTAGGATTTTGTAGAAAGTAGATGATGGGATGGGTTAGGAATTTGTAGAAAGTAGATGATAGGATGGGTTAGGAATTTGTAGAAAGTAGATGAGAGGATGGGTTAGGATTTTGCAGAGAGTAGATGATGGGATGGGTTAGGAATTTGTACACAGTAGATGATAGGATGGGTTAGGATTTTGTAGGAAGTAGATGAGAGGATGGGTTAGGATTTTGCAGAGAGTAGATGATGGGATGGGTTAGGAATTTATACACAGTAGATGATAGGATGGGTTAGGAATTTGTAGAAAGTAGATAAAAAGATTGGTTAGGATTTTGTAGGAAGTAGATGATGGGATGGGTTAGAATTTTGTAGAAAGTAGATGATAGGATGGGTTAGAATATTCACCTCTACTGTGTGTCATGTTACAGGTACACAAACATGGATACAGTTGAGGGAATTGTATCTACGGCGATGTCACGCAATACGACTGGCTGATTTCTGTCTATTCATTGACAAACTTCCTAACCTCGAGCTGCTGCATCTGGAACACATGTTCCGTGAACCTCCCAAGGGCTGTTCCAGGTAGACTCTACTATAATTCATCAACAATCATTAACTAATTATTAAAATCTTGTTTTGTCTGAATTATTTGAGAAAAAAGATATGTTTAATTACATCAAATATGACAGCTATATAGTCTTACATAGATATGGGGCAAAGAAGTAATTCCAACAGTGTGGACAAGTCTTACATAGATAGGTAGACATGGCATCATGAAATGTTTGAATTATTAAAACAACAGTTAAATGAAAATATCAATACAAGTAATGAAAAGTTACAAAATCTGATGTCTCTCTGACATTGTTTAAGACTTAAGTTTCTGTTTTGATCTGTTTAATACTTGGACTGAGGCTGAAGTGTGTTTTTGTTTTTTTAAGGGTTGGACTGAGTGCTGGCACTGGTCTTGGGATGTCCTCTGCCCTCGTGGGAAGTCACCAAGGCCCCAACATCTCTGATATTGGAGACGATTCAGAAAACGAAAATGACAATAACAATAATGAACTGGTTCATCAGGGGTTAGGTGATATATTAGATGAACAAGGAGCTACAGAACACGTACCAGCCAATCGGGAAGGTGTTAACACATCATCTGTGGAACATGTGACCAAACCAGCCAATCAAACAGCGGAAGATAATATCTTGACCAATAAGAGAACAGATTCCGTAGAAACTAGTGAAATAATAGGTTCAGAAGTATCATGCATTGATCATGATCAGACACCAAGCAAGCCAGAAGGTTGTATGTGTGAACATCAGACAAACAATACAGAAGGGATTGGATCTGTAAAACTTAATTCCACAGAACCAACAGAGACAAGTACATCTGTGCTGGGCATAGTGTTACCTATCCAATCTAAAACAGATATTGATGTTACGGAAATGGCGCCACATCAGCAACCATCTTCTTCGCAACAGCTGCTGTTGATTGGGAGTAAGATCACCAGTGAGACAAGGACACCATTTTCTGTATCATCTAGTCTAATATCCCATCCATCATCCAATCGGAGGTCAGAAAATAGCTCAAGTGGAATATCACACGATCAAATATTCATTCCTAACGAAACAGGAACATCTCCGCAAGAACAAAAACTGTGTAGTGTTTCAGGAGAATCTGAGAAAATGCTGCCTACAGGGGAAAGTGTCTCTTACACTGAAAGCAAAATGAATGAGGCTGTGAGTAGAATGAAAGCAGAACATGTGATAGAGTTAGAGGACAGGATGGAGGAGGGTGATGAGGAAGACACATTCCTACTGCACGGCGAGGATATAGCATATGAGGACACATGGTCAGATGACGACAAGAGTTCAGATGGGCAGGACTCAAGTATAAATAGAAAAGACAGCAAATTAGGAAAGGTTACTGATGACACTGCACATTGTGATTCTAATAGACAAGATTCAGATACACTAGTAGAAAGATGTAAAGCTATGGCGGGTGAACAAAAGGACTTTCAGAGGGGTCATTCAGGGTTGGGAAATGTTAATTCTAAAGCTCAGGAAGAAAACAGTCTTTCAGTATATACTCTTGGAGAGCCAAAACACTCGGATGTTTTAGAGGGTGTAGAAAAGATGGATACTTCAGGGGGTTTGGTGACCGAACACAGTAGATTTCCTGAGGCCGATGGTTCTGCCAACCTTAACTGTGAAGACAAAGGACACCAGGGCATGGGTTCACTGGGGACTTTTCCAGAGAGACAAGGCCTGGATAGTGCTAGGCAACCCACAAACACAGCGGTTTGTTCAGTGGAGGTTAATAACCATAGGGAAGACTCGGACAGTAAAATGTGTGACATATGTCAAAGACCACATCCGCTGGACAGTAAAGGCTACACCCATGGTCAAACTTGTAATACATCACAAGCACCTACTTGTACCAAATGTGATAGTCAAAGTTACTGTCAGTCTGAAGGTCGCCAACACAGTTTTATAGAAAGTGAGAGTGAAAACAATCAGCTGGACATTCAGGGTAAGGGTCAAGACCAATATCGGTCAAATCATCAGGGTCAAGGACACAATCTAATGAATAATAAGGGTCAAGGGCAATGTCAGTCTAACAATGAAGGTCAAGTGCAAAATGAGACTGACCTTGTGAGGAACAGCACCAGTAATGAAGATCGTGGCATAGAAACAAATCCCATCAAAATGACCACAAATGGTATTTTAATTCCAGACTCAAAAGAAAGCAAACAGGTAACTACTGATGGTGACAATGCAAGTTCCAGTCTGAAACATTTAATAAAGTGTGAAAATGAAAGTAAACTTGAAATTTCTATAGCAAAACTAAGTGACACGAGGGAGGAGAAATTTGATGATGTAGAGGAGGAGGAGGAGGAAGAGGAGGAGTATTCTGATGAAGATGAAGAGGAGACGGTTCTTATCGTTAGAAGGGAAGAGCCCAGAGGTTACAAAGTCACAAGTGAAAAAGTCAACAGAGCAGAGAAAGTCATACAAGAGAACAATATAACGCTGTCGGGGGAAGTATCTGTACGATCCCTGTCAGGGGAGATAACTATCGACCCCACGCAGGGACAGATGGCAGGTATAGTGTCTAATGTTGTCATTATGTTGGGGATGACGATGCGCAGGCCTAAAGCCACAGGGACGAGGCAGCTGGGGCGTGACATTGTAGTGACTGTGGCTGGTCGTAGTACGTACGTGGGATCAGGGGAGATTGACGTGTCTATTGTTAGTGGTAAAAAGATCATCGCAATATTACAGACGGACCAGCCTGCTGGGCCATGTGAGACTCTCAGTGATGTGTTACGCAACTGTGGCTTGCCATCAATTTTGCATTTGATCACTGAAGGAGATTTACAAGAGATCAACCGGGATAAAAGTCTAGTAACCAATGTAGGACGAACACAAACTCCAGTATGGAAATGTTCATTTGAAGGTGAAGATCATGAAAATGTTGGTCTGGTAGAAAGTAATGAAGAAGGTCACTTGAAGGCAGGGACTCTCCATGGTGAACAATGCCCTATGAAGGTGCACAGTGACTGTACAGACGAGTGCAAGACCACAGCAACTTCAGACAGGGATAGTGTTATCAGTACATCACATGAAGCTAGAAATGATGAAGGGAATACAAAATCAGGTCAAACAAAACTGGAAGAATCTGAAGCAGATAAAATAAATTGTGATCAGTCACAGGGTCAGGTCCCAGACCAGGATAAAATAAGGTGTGAGAGCCAAGTACAAAATAAGGTCCCAGGCAAGGATCTTATGAAATGTAAGATCCCAGTACAAGATCAGGCCCCTGACACGGATATGATGAGATGTAAGAGCCCTGTACAAAATCAGGCCCTAGACCGGGATATGATGAGATGTAAGAGCCCTGTACAAGATCAGGCCCCAGATCGGGATATGATAAAATGTAAGAGCCCTGTACAAGATCAGGCCCCAGACCAGGACATGATAAAATGTAAGAGTCCAGTACAAGACCAGGCCAGAGACCGGGACATGATCAGATGTGACTGCCCTGTAAGAGGTATACTACATACCTGTTCTGGTATGGTGGTTCTCCTGTCTCCCTGCTGTCAGATGTACGGTAACATGAGAATAAGAGATGCTCAGGTCAGTTCTGCTATACCACCCAGTGCTTTTGGTGCATTTTGGTCGTGTACTGTTGATGATCCAGGCCCATCAACTGTGGTAGATCCGAAGTTAGCGGTGACCAAGGTAGACAACTCTATACAAAAGGGGAAGGACAATGACAAGGCATGCCAAACTTTGGCTACATCCTCACAGAGTGACCCTTCAAACCAGGTCATCAGCTGCCTCTCCATGGGGGGTCCAACCACTCATAACTCTGGTAAGTTTTAGAGAATAATCTCTTTGTAGGGAGTCCCACCTACTGAGTTCTTAAGTAAATCATAGACAGTCACAAGTTCAACTACTCATAGCTCAAGTAAATTGCCTCTATGTGGGTATTAACGTCCACCCACTGGCATGTTCTCAAATATTACTGCATGTACCAACGTTGTTATAATGTGTGAATGGCTGTTTTGTATTTTTTGTGATAATCTTTATCTAGGCCTGTTTATCGATTACACATCAGATGCAATATTTCACTGAAGCAAGGGTGTACACTTTCAGTCGGGGGTGTACACTTTCAGTCAGTGGTGTAAAATTTCAACCACGGGTGTACAATATCAATTTTGGATGTTAAAGTTCTATCAGGGATGTATACTTTGAATAACGGTAGATAAGTACTATCAGTGGTGTGCACTTTCAATAAGGGTAGGCAATTACTATCAGGGATGTACACTTTCAATAAGGGTAGACAATTACTGTCAGGGGTGTAAACTTTCAATAAGGGTAGACAATTACTATCAGGGATGTACACTTTCAATAAGGGTAGACAACTACTATCAGGGATGTACACTTTCAATAAGGGTAGACATTTACTATCAGGGATGTACACTTTCAATAAGGGTAGACAATTACTGTCAGGGGTGTACACTTTCAATAAGGGTAGACAATTACTATCGCGGGTTTGCACTTTCAATAAGGGTAGGCAAGTACTATCAGGGATGTACACTTTCAATAAGCGTAGACAATTACTATCAGGGGTGTACACTTTCAATAAGGGAAGACAATTACTATCAGGGATGTACACTGTCAATAAGGGTAGAAAATTACTATCAGGGGTTTGCACTTTCAATAAGGATAGACGATTACTATCAGGGATGTACTCTTTCAATAAGGGTAGACGATTACTATCAGGGGTTTGCACTTTCAATAAGGATAGACGATTACTATCAGGGATGTACACGTTCAATAAGGGTAGACAATTACTACCAGGGGTGTACACTTTGAATACGGGTAGACAAATACTATCAGGGGTGTACACTTTCGATAAGAGTGGACAATTACTATCAGGGGTGTACCCTTTCAATAAGGGTAGACAATTACTCTCAGGGGTGTACACTTTCAATAAGGGGAGACAATTACTATCAGGGATGTACACTGTCAATAAGGGTAGAAAATTACTATCAGGGGTTTGCACTTCCAATAAGGGTAGACAATTACTATCGCGGGGTTGCACTTTCAATAAGGGTAGGCAAGTACTATCAGTGATGTACACTTTCAATAAGGGTAGAAAATTACTATCAGGGGTTTGCACTTCCAATAAGGGTAGACAATTACTATCGAGGGTTTGCACTTTCAATAAGGGTAGGCAAGTACTATCAGTGATGTACACTTTCAATAAGGGTAGAAAATTACTATCAGGGGTTTGCACTTTCAATAAGGATAGACGATTACTATCAGGGATGTACGCTTTCAATAAGCATAGACAATTACTATCAGGGGTGTGGTACACTTTCAATAAGGGTAGACGATTACTATCAGGGGTTTGCACTTTCAATAAGGATAGACGATTACTATCAGGGATGTACGCTTTCAATAAGCATAGACAATTACTATCAGGGGTGTACACTTTCAATAAGGGAAGACAATTACTATCGCGGGTTTGCACTTTCAATAAGGGTAGACGATGACTATCAGGGATGTACACTTTCAATACGGGTAGACAAATACTATCAGGGGTGTACACTTTAAATAAGGGTAGACAACTACTACCAGGGGTGTACTCTTTCAATACGGGTAGACAAATACTATCAGGGGTGTACACTTTAAATAAGGGTAGACAACTACTACCGGGGGTGTACACTTTCAATACGGGTAGACAATTACTATCAGGGGTGGACACTTTCAATAAGGGTAAACAATTACTGTCAGCGGTGTACACTTTCAATAAGGGTAGAAAATCACTATCAGGGGTGTACACTTTCAATACGGGTAGACAATTACTATCAGGGGAGTACACTTTCAATAAGGGGAGACAATTACTATCAGGGATGTACACTTTCAATAAGGGAAGACAATTACTATCGCGGGTTTGCACTTTCAATCAGGGTAGGCAAGTACTATCAGGGGTGTACGCTTTCAATAAGGGTAGACAATTACCATCAGGGGTTTGCACTTTCAATAAGGATAGACGATTACTATCAGGGATGTACGCTTTCAATAAGGGTATACAATTACTATCAGGGGTTTGCACTTTCAATAAGGATAGACGATTACTATCAGGGATGTACTCTTTCAATAAGGGTAGACGATTACTATCAGGGGTTTGCACTTTCAATAAGGGTAGGCAAGTACTATCAGGAATGTACACTTTCAATAAGCGTAGACAATTACTGTCAGGGGTGTACACTTTCAATAAGGGGAGACAATTACTATCAGGGATGTACACTGTCAATAAGGGTAGAAAATTACTATCAGGGGTTTGCACTTTCAATAAGGGTAGGCAAGTACTATCAGGGATGTACACTTTCAATAAGCGTAGACAATTACTATCAGGGGTGGACACTTTCAATAAGGGTAAACAATTACTGTCAGTGGTGTACACTTTCAATAAGGGTAAACAATTACTGTCAGTGGTGTACACTTTCAATAAGGGTACACAATTACTATCGCGGGTTTGCACTTTCAATAAGGGTAGACAATTACTATCAGGGGTGTACACTTTCAATAAGAGTGGACAATTACTATCAGTGGTGTAAACTTTCAATCATTGGTGTTACTTCTGGAAAGTTCAGAACATCTTTGATGCCCTCAACACTTGATACCCTTCATATGGTTATATTTCCCTTAAAATTAATGAGAACACATGTTTATCTGTAAACATGACTTCTGTGTACAAAACTGTTTGTAGGGTTGCCATTGTTACAATACTTGTTTTCTCTCTCATTCAGTTGGAGTATCCACCATCAGCAACTCTGGGGCTCAGGTGGGCAGTCATATCGATGGTAAGAGGATGATTGACCAGGCGACCAGTACCAGTGACCCTGTGATTGAAGATGACCACATTCAGGTAAGTGGGTGGTTGACCAGTCACCAGTCATAGTGACAGGTAGAATACAACCATATACAGGTAAGGTGATTTCACAGGTAGGTGCCAACCTGGTAGAAAAGAACCACATACAGGTAATACAATATGAATAATAATTAGTATAAGATGTTAGGTGTTTTTTCATATAATGGAAATTTATATCTTTTTATATGTTTTAAAGACCTGTGCTTTCGATTGTAGAAAGGTCCATGTAGCACAACCAGTTCAGTGTTTATATATGATATTTTAATGACTAGTATGCTATGTACTCTGTCACCTTTATGAGACAAATGACCAGTGAAATATATGCTAACAAGAAGCGACGTGTGTATATATATGTAAACTTCGTTGTTGTACATGTACAAAATCACCAATCAATGCAGGTACACATCTTAGAATTAAATCCTTTCCATTAATCAAAACACTGACATTTGATAAGCTGAGACTAGATTACATGTTTGTTTCAGATACTGGAAATAAAATCGAGGAGTCTGACGTGTCTGTCACTAAACATGGTTGGAATCACAGACCTTGTCCTCACGGACTGTCCCAAACTAAGCCGTGTCACTGGTAGGTTTATTGTAGTAGCTACTCCTTGTCCTCACGGACTGTCCCAAACTTAGCCGCGTCACTGGTAGGTTTATTGTAGTAGCTACTCCTTGTCCTCATGGACTGTCCCAAATTTAGCCGCGTCACTGGTAGGTTTATTGTAATAACTACCTCTGTCCTCACGGACTGTCCCAAACTAAGCCGTGTCACTGGTAGGTTTATTGTAGTAGCTTCTCCTTGTCCTCACGGACTGTCCCAAACTTAGCCGTGTTACTGGTAGGTTTATTGTAGTAGCTTCTCTTTGTCCTCACGGACTGTCCCAAACTTAGCCGTGTCACTGGTAGGTTTATTGTAGTAGCTACTCCTATTCATCTGTTGAAGCTTCACTGTACTGAATATAGAAACTATATATATTTAATGAAATTGGGTAGTTAAGAGAAAGAAATCGTTTCTGCAATCATTATATTACTTGTGTAATAGTGATGTCAACCGCAGTGTTTCAGTTTGGTTTGGTTTGGTTTGTTTGTGTTTTACGTCCTATCAACAGCTATGGCCATTTAAGGACGTGCCAGGTTTTGGTGGTGAAGGAAAGCCGGATTTCCCGAAAAAACCCCACTGACTTATGGCTAGTACCTGGCGACTGCCCCACGTAGGTCTCTAACCCCCGACCCGGTGGTTGAGGGCTAGTGGTAGCAGAATGTCAGACGCCTTAACCACTTGGCCACCGTGGCCCCCACAGTTTTTCAGTGAAACAGCACAATAACACAAAGCAAAATAATGACATACATTTACCTTGGTTGGGGTGATATGCCAACTTTGAGGCGGTTTGTCAGAAAATAAATATTCCTTTATACATATATTTCAAGGTGATACAGAGGTTCCCCAACAAGTTATAGGTGGTTATCATGTTTATCTAACTCTAGTAACAATTAATTTTCATATTGTGTGGAGACACAAGGTTTAAATGTTTCCCTGGAAATGCATTATTTCTGTTTCTGATTGGGTCACTATTATTGCCATGAATCCTGATGTCAAAAATGATAATGACAGCTCAAAGCATTGTTAAGTGAAATCATATATCAAAGATTGATCAATGAATTAACGTCTACAGTGTTACAACAAAAAAATGTTTACCAACTCCTAGCATGTCTATCTAATAAGCCGGGAGTGAGGTAACCTATTGTGGTTGTGGGAGAAATATTTATTTTCTGGCTGCTTGTCAGTGTGAACTCTACCTTTACAGTTAGATAAATAAATAATAGTATATTTAAGTGTCACACATTGATCGACAGTAAAATACAAATCACAATAATTAAATATACAATGTGAAAGCGAAATTAATCAATTCACAGAAGTTAAAAAGTTAAAACATAAAAATGGTACATACAGATTGCTATACAGAACCCCACTCTGATGTCAGTTCAATGCGGAGTCCGCTGAGTATGCCCTTCAGATAAAAACAACATGTATTAAATAATGCACCGGCTCTCACACAAAGTACCCAGCTCGACAGACCCCACCCCAAACTGGCAGGAGGGAAGGGTTCTATTTATCACATAGCGTCAATGTATTACACCATAGTAAAATAGGAGAGAGAGCACAATAACTCAGATCAGAATTAGATATGGGTGGTTTGACTAGTGATCGGAAAGTGGTTAAGGTGATCTATGTTGGTTTGTGCCTGTCATCTTTACTTTTGTTGGTGACCTATGTTGGTTTGTCAGTGTGGAATTCACCTTTGTTTTGGTGGTCTGGGGTGATCTGTCAGTGTAAAATTTTCCTTATATCATTTATTTACACAGGTTGTGCCTGTCGAGTATTGAAGAAGGTGAAAACACAATCGGCCCCAAAACTTCAGAAGATGTCCTTTGCCCAATGTAGAAAACTTGACGAAGAATTTTTGCTGGAACAAATAGCTTCTCTTGCTGCTGTTAAAAACCGTGTAGTTTACCTCCGCCCCCTACATGAGGTAAGCAAATCTGTAATCCTGTTAAATTATTTTACCAAAATAAATCATTTGGCTTTTGCTATTTTCATGATCAAATTGCTTCTTCAATAGAAATCTTGTGTAACATCAAGATTATAGCGTTTGGCGTTCAGACTAAAGAACCTATTACCCATATGTAATGTAGACTTACACAATTCAACTCTTGGGAATAAGATTTTTGAGTGTACAGAACTTGATAAGGCCTCGTTCTAGACAAACATCAATTGTGAGGCTTGGTTTGATATATTTCTCTGCACAATACATGGATGATAGGTTTGGAGGCACAGTAGTCTAGTGGTAGGATGCCAGGCTCATGACCAAAGGGTTGCGGGTTGGATTCACGTCACGTCACTGTGTTTTATCTTTGAACAAGATACTTTACTCCGCTTGTTTCAGTCTACTCAGCTCTAAATGAGTACGTGGTTGGGCAGTGCTAAATTTGTTGAATGCTAGCTGTTAGCGCCAAAATGGCAGCTCCGGCTGTATGCTCCCCAGAGAGTTGAGAAAGATATTGGCTGGTTGCAAAGGCCCAATAACCACGGATAATAATTTGTGAACTCTCTTTGAAACGGCCTATTTGCTTGGCTAGAAGCGGTATATAAGAACCTCAAATTATGTTTATCATTATTAATTAGTCTCTACAATGTCCCCATAGCAGAAGTTATGGGAGTAACCACTGATTCTACAGGAGGCCACATGTTAGGTTCGTCATAAGGAAAAAGTAGTACATATATAGCAAACATAAAAGTGAAGAGACAAATATGATTACAATGTATGTTGCTATTGCCCTATATGTCACTGAGTGAATTGCTTGCTGTCTGAGTTATACGTTCAATGAACTTCAGTTTGACAGAGCTAGCCTGGAGGAGCGATTGTTTGGGGGACATGAGGTGGACTATGGACTGTGTGTAGTTTATGACTACAATCCCTCACCACAGGACTCTATGTACAACAGAACTAGAGTAGCTACCTGGCCTCACCTCTTCATTGGCATAAACCTGTACGTATAACCTCTCCTTCAACAGGTAAGGCATGTCTCCTGTACCCCAAACAAAAAAGTTTGAGGGGTCATGCGTTGTTCCTTTAAGACCCCCAAATGCAAAACAGGTATATGAATTTTTTGTTTTAAGTCATACATTATTACCTGTACTATTATCTACTCCTGCAAGCTGGATAATGCTCATGTTTCCATATCAATACTCACTTCAGAATTCTAGATTGTTGCCATTGTTTCTGATAGACAGAGACATGTCTGACTGTAGATTTTAGTCTAAAACACTGATTATATAATGATACTCCATTAAAACTGCAATTGCCAAGTTTCATTCTTTAGTGTCTAAGATGGGCACCATGGCCTCTTCTTATTGGAAACATTCCTCAGTATTATTTCGTTCTAATTGACCAATTCTGTTTATACCTGAATGGAATGATACATAGCAGACATGTTGAAATTCCACATTGGTGTATTGAAAATGGTCCCCATAATTTCTAATAGCTTAAATTCTTACTAAATATTTTATTGGTCTCACTTTTGTCAATTTTGCTAATGTGTGGTTGGTTGAAAAGAGTAATTGATGTCACTTGCATCTACTATTATTGCAGGTATAGTTTAATCTCTGTAACAGCTAGCTCGCATCTATTAATGTATACAGTGCTAATTTCAATTTAAGTTTTGGTGAAATAATCCCCTGCAGAATCTTTCAAAGTATTTTTATTGTTAATATAGATATAGATGTATAACAAAACTGCTCATATTGGTTGTGGGTATGTCCTTTCTGATGTTATTTTGATTTTTCAAACTTTATGTAATCTTTGTGTAAATTTGTAACTGGTCGTGTATTTCAGAGAGTTACTGCAGTCATACAACTTTAGACAGTGGGATGGTGTGACGTCATCCAAGTATCCCTGGGACCGCAACATATACACCATGGCTGGTAACTTTCCCTTCTACATTGATAAGTATCTCAGAAATCATGGGGTGTAATTCCCCACCTTCCATCTTTACAAGTACTCCTTGGACTGTTGTACAAAAATAATTGCTTGTAAGCAACGCCTTCCATCCTATACTTTCCTTTTCATATTTTGTGACTCCTGCTTATTTTTCAGGGGAAAATGAGAATGGATCTAAGTGGGAGCTAACTACAGACATTCCATGGCTGCGACCACTTTCAGAATGTACCAATCTGTCCCAGAGCAGACTCTCAACACAGGACCAGAAAGGTATGTTTAACATACATCATAGTCACAACAACCTTCTTCACACCAGAGTAAGCTGTCCCCACAACATCTCAGCTGTATTGTAGATCAAATACACATTGTAAGGAAAAGTCTAATAAAACATAGAATTATATGCTCTATATCAAACTCTACACAGTATGCTTTTTATACGCCTGTCAAATTTGACGGGACTATTATGGTATGGCGTTGTCCGTCTGTCTGTCCGGCGTAAACTTTTGTTTGTCTGGCAATCTCCTCCTTCATTTTTCGACGGATCTATTTGAAACTTGGTATACATTATAATCATGATATGAAGTTGTGTCTCCTGTAAAAGAATATTTATTCAACAATTTTTGCAAAAGGTATTTCCCTTTGTTTATTTCAGTATTTGATTTTTGTCTGGCAATCTCCTCCTACATTTTTCGACGGATCTATTTGAAACTTGGTATACATTATAATCATGATATGAAGTTGTGTCTCCAGTAAAAGAATATTTATTCAACAATTTTTGCAAAAGTTATTGCCCTTTGTTTATTTCAGTATTTGATTTTTGTCCGGCAATCTCCTCCTACATTTTTCAACGGATCTCTTTGAGACTTAGTAGGCTAAATAAACATGATATGTTGTTCTGTTTTCTTGAAAAGAATTTTGATTCGACAATTTTTGCAAAAGTTATTGCCCTTTGTTCATTTCAATATTTGATTTTTTTGTCCGGAGATCTCCTACTACATTTTTTGACAGATTTCTTTGAAACTTAGTAGGCTAAATAATCATGAAATGTTGTTGTGTTTCCTTGAAAAGAATTTTGATTCAACGATTTTTGCAAAAGTTATTGCCCTTTGTTCATTTCAGTATTTGATTTTTTTATCCGGAGATTTTCTCCTACATTTTTATAGCATGTCAGCTAACCACTCTTTGAATGATGCAGATCTTATTTCAATGTAAGAAAGTATATAACACTATATGGCATTCGACGAGCGTATATCGTTCCCCCCCGCGGTACTCTTGTTAGAACATTGACAACTAACTGAAGATATTATTCAAACTGGTCTGTATTTTCATTTTTAGTTTCAACTACAGTTCTATATTTTTGTAAATCTTGATGTTTGTTTGATCACAGTTGGAGTGTACTGTCCAGCAGCTAAAGGCCATTTCAGTGTGACAGAGTGCCTGGCCGACCTTCAAAATGATATTGCAGAGAAACAGGCAGGAGGAATTGGTCTGGTGCCATTCTCTGTAGTTGTGTACATAAACATGTGTGACGTGTCAGGTGAACCAGTACATGACCCCTATATATAACACATAAGGTCAAAGTATTGACCCCTATATATAACACATAAGGTCAAAGTCACGACCCCTATATATAAAACATAAGGTCAGAGTCTCGACCAGTATATATAATACATAAGGTCATGGTCACATCCCCTATATATAACACATAAGGTCATGGTCACATCCCCTATATATAACACATAAGGTCAAGGTCACAACCCCTATATATAAAACGCATAAGGTCACAGTCTCGGCTCCTATATATAACACATAAGATCAAAGTCTCGCCCCTATATATAACATATAAGATCACATCCCCTATATATAATACATAAGGTCATGGTCACGACCCCTATATATAACACATAAGGTCATGGTCACATCCCCTATATTTAACACATAAGGTCACGGTCATGACCCCTATATATGATACATAAGGTCACGGTCACATACCCTATATATAACACATTAGGTCACGGTCACGACCCCTATATATAACACATTAGGTCACAGTCATGACTCCTACATATAACACAACATCACAGTACACAACTCCTATATTTCACCCATAACACCTATCGGTCTTGAGTTCAAACCAATGTTCTTGTTCTAATCGCCAGTATAGCCACTCAAAAAAACGTAGTATCCCCTAAATTTCATAGTCACAACCTCTACATATAAAACACCATGTCATAGTCACTATACACAATGTCATAATCACAACCTCTACATATAAAACACCATGTCACTAATAGTCATAGATTAAGAAATATCTAGAAGTATATACTTCTGCTTCCACATCTTCTAAGGCTACAGTTACTTTGGATTGGTACATGCTTGTTATCCTCGTCTAACTGAGCAACTAGTATGCTGAAGTTTATTTGTTCATAATTATGAACATCACCCGAGTGATACATGTGGAGACTACACTAGAAATGTAGATTGCTATTTGTACATTGGAAGTATGTTGTAATATGTACAAAATAAGGGAGGAAATCTCAGGTCAAAAGGTAAAAATTCAAGTGAACATTTGACTGTATGAATATTGTTTACCTCTAAACTGTGTTATTACCACCGACACTGAAGTAAGCAGGGAATGCTTATCAACAGAATGCCTTATATTTATCTGCAAACTCTAATGTTTGATTTTTACCTTGAACCTAGTCAAAGTCTCAGGTTTAACTGCTATAAATCTAATTATATCTTCATATGATATCACTTAACCATCTACCAGTAATGTGATATTGACATCATTGTCATGTTCATTGTAATATAACAGTGATGCTATACATGTATTTTATTACACAAGGATAAACCATAGTATTTTGTTATGGTGCTATTTGTGCTAATACAGATGATTTCTCTAATTATTGTTAAGATGACTTTTCTAGCTTTTTTGTGCAATATAGAGTGTTAGTAATGATGTATGATTTGTGATGGAAGTGCTAGTTTAACCGTCTGTAGATTATGATGAATACACAAACATTGACTAGCACTTTTGTGTTTCTGATGAAACCCGATACTAAACTGTGATACGCAATGACACAATTGTCTTTTGTACATTGCTGGTTCAGTTAATAAAAGGAAATTAGTTTTCAAAGACATGTTGTTTTTTTATAACTGAATTTGTCCACGTTGTAATAAAACAAGAAATAGATGAGATATTGAACTGGTTTCCTTGAATGTCCTTCGCTTGATCATCAGTTCGTGTTCTTCACTTGACCATCAGTTAGTGTTCTTCACTTGATCATCAGTTAGTGTTCTTCACTTGATCATCAGTTCGTGTTCTTCACTTGACCATCAGTTAGTGTTCTTAACTTGACCATCAGTTAGCGTTCTTCACATGACAATCAGTTTGTGATCTTCATTTGACCATCAGATAGTGTTCTTCACATGTCAATCAGTTAGTGATCTTCACTTGATCATAAGTTCGTGTTCTTCACTTGATCATCGGTTAGTGTTCTTCACGTGACCATCAGTTAGTGACCTTCCCTTGATCATCAGTTAGTGTTCCTCACTTGACCATCAGATAGTGTTCTTCACATTACAATCAGTTAGTGACCTTCACTTGACCATCAGTTAGTGTTCTTCACATGACAATCAGTTAGTGATCTTCATTTGACCATCAGTTAGTGTTCTTCACATGACTATCAGTTAGTGATCTTCACTTGACCATCAGTTAGTGTTCTTCACATGACAATCAGTTAGTGTTCTTCACTTGACCATCAGTAAGTGTTCTTCACTTGACCATCAGTTAGTGATCTTCATTTGACCATCAGATAGTGTTCTTCACATGACTATCAGTTAGTGATCTTCACTTGACCATCAGCTAGTGTTCTTCACATGACAATCAGTTAGTGTTCTTCACTTGACCATCAGTAAGTGTTCTTCACTTGACCATCAGTTAGTGATCTTCACTTGACCATCAGCTAGTGTTCTTCACTTGACCATCAGTTAGTGATCTTCATTTGACCATCAGTTAGTGATCTTCACTTGACCATCAGTTAGTGTTCTTCACTTTACCATCAGTTAGTGTTCTTCACATGACAATTAGTTAGTGTTCTTCACTTGACCATCGGTTAGTGTTCTTCACTTGACCATCAGTTAGTGATCTTCATTTGACCATCAGTTAGTGATCTTCACTTGACCATCAGCTAGTGTTCTTCACTTGACCATCAGTTAGTGTTCTTCACATGACAATCATTTAGTGTTCTTCACATGACAATTAGTTAGTGTTCTTCACTTGACAATCAGTTAGTGTTATTCACTTGACCATCAGTTAGTGTTATTCACATGACAATCAGTTAGTGACCTTCACTCGATCATCAGTTAGTGTTCTTCACTTGATCATCAGTTTGTGTTCTTCACTTGGCCATCAGTTAGTGTTCTTCACATGACAATCAGTTTGTGATCTTCATTTGACCATCAGTTAGTGTTCTTCACTTGTCCATCAGTTAGTGTTCTTCACTTGACAATCAGTTAGGGTTCTTCACATGACAATCAGTTAGTGACCTCACTTGATCATCAGTTAGTGTTCTTCACATGACAATCAGTTTGTGATCTTCATTTGACCATCAGTTAGTGTTCTTCACATGACTATCAGTTAGTGATCTTCACTTGACCATCAGCTAGTGTTCTTCACATGACAATCAGTTAGTGTTCTTCACTTGACCATCAGTAAGTGTTCTTCACTTGACCATCAGTTAGTGTTATTCACATGACAATCAGTTAGTGACCTTCACTTGACAATCAGTTAGTGTTCTTCACTTGACCATCAGTAAGTGTTCTTCACTTGACCATCAGTTAGTGATCTTCACTTGACCATCAGTTAGTGTTCTTCACTTGACCATCAGTTAGTGTTATTCATTGACCATCAGTTAGTGTTCTTCACATGACAATCAGTTAGTGACCTTCACTTGATCATCAGTTAGTGTTCTTCACTTGATCATCAGTTTGTGTTCTTCACTTGACCATCAGTTAGTGTTCTTCACATGACAATCAGTTAGTGTTCTTCAC